CATCTTTCCTATTGCAAGTAACAACACACAAAGCCCTGCTCTTATAGCCATACATTTCAAGTCTCCCAGTCAGCCCAAGATGAGTCAAAATCAATCTTGTAAGTATCGCCATCGTTCCCGTCCTCTTGCCTGCTAATATCCCTGCAGCTTCCAACAATACCGACTTCGACATGATAGCGATAGCGGATGTGGCCGCTCAAATGGCATTGGATGTCCGCGGTAAATTTCCACAGGACACGATCAACTCCGTGATTCCACTTCCGCGAAGGCTCGGCCGGAGCCAGCAGCCCTCAGCTATCGACCAAGAGGGTATGAGGCTTTGGAACGCGTCGCAGACTAAAAAGGACTTCGACGACTTTGACCCGGCTGTGATCACAGAAGCATCTGAGAACTACAAGACTGTATGGAGAGTCTGCCTTCGCGTGTTCTGGTCCACACCGAATGAGATCTTGTCCCTGAGGGAGGGATTGCGGTATCGCCCAACTCCACCAGCGAGCGTGAAGGCGTCTCATGTAGTCTTCTCGCCAAAGTTCAGCCGCTTGTTTGCTGAATTGGTCGTTCATCCATGCTGGGAAGGTCGCTCGAATCTCTTCATCATGGCCATCCAGTACACTGTCAAGGTTCGTGTTGACAGCCGTACATCCTGGCCGAATGCAGATATTTTGCATTTTCTCAGTTGTCCTGCTCTGAAGGCGCTCTCACGTTGGTCCTTTCGTCTTGAAGAAGTGGCGATAAGTCTTCACGAGATGCATAGGCAAGCCAGGGAGGCTCAAACAGAGGCTCCCCCCTCCGAATTCTCAAACTTTCTTTACTTCCTCGGCGAGATAGCCAGCATGTCGCCAAGTTCTGACTACAAGCAAACCTACCTTGGTCGTCCAGCATTGCCAGTCACCACTAAGGACTTGAAGATCCTTACAACTGCGGTGACGCATTTCGATTGGGAGGAGGTAGACTGGGCGGAAACTCCAGAAGAGGTCTTTGATTCTTTTAAGGTCAAGGGGGGCTTTCTAGCGATCAGTACCCTCAGAATGACCGACAATTAAAGCGTTTTGTTCGTCGAAGCCTTGTCGAAAATTATCGCCGCATTGCGATGATGAGAGATGTTTTTGGAGGCCCGAATCCTCCAGATGAGACCCCTTCTGATAATGAGGTTCTGAGTGGTGATGAGTCTGAGAGTACTTGAGTTGGCGATAGCGTCTGGATGTGGATCTTATGGAACTGTTATTCGAGGTTGTGTCAGAGAATGAGTATGGGGTCACAATTGTGTATGGATTTAGTATGTTGTATGAAATGAAACACATCGTTATGGCATCAAGACAGGAAACGTGACTGAAATATGAGCCAGCGTGGCGAAACTTGATGATTTAGACACATATTATAGGTGTCACATCACTAGACGAAGAGCAAAGGTTGAAGGAAGAAACAAGTGTTTAACACGTTGATATGATTCCTCCAATTTACATTTCTGTGTGCCTTCTTCACCCTCTTGTGGCCAGTCCCTTTGCCATGCAAAAGTCTGGGCCTTTCCATGTGGCCGCTCAAGGATAAATTACATAACTATTCTACTGACCAACAACTTCACACGTTCATTCATTCAAGATAGTGTTGTGAGGGCCCTGACATTGCATTACTCACTCAAAGAACTACCTTACACGAAGAACCACATTTCTTCTCCTCGCCACTATTGTGAAGTGTCATCGGAGGCAAAACGACACTGGCTCATTATGCTGATCCTCCATTGAGTGTTCTCGCCCATGCCTCGATGAACTCGTTGAAGTTGGCCTCCATAGAACGAATGCGCTCATTTGCAGCCCTCAATCTCTCCCTCAGTTCGCGATTCTCCTCTGTCAACAGACGACCCTCCTCCAACGTAAGAGAGGTCTCTCCAGCAGCACTATCTACGTCTCGCTGAGAAGTAGTGATACGTTCAGAAGCGTCATGGCCGTGGGTGGCATGCCCGGTACTTTTGTCGTCGGAGCGATCGAGGGGACCGTTGGAAGATGACTGAAAGGCGTGCTCGTTCAGCACATGCGCTCTGGTAGAGGCATATATCATATAAATAGGAATTCGAGATCCCAAATCGCCGCAATACTCGAGTCTCAGTAACATCCTACGTAAAACTGGGCAATCTGTTTTGTCGTAGTGGTCGCAAGGCCACAGGTGTCGATCATCCAGGCGACATACGATTGCATATTGCAAGGCCTGTACCAGCTTGTCGGCATTCTCCTCGAAGCATGGGTGAACAATGAGCGAAGTGAGCGCATGACAAAAGTTCACAGAGTAGATAACGTTTGTGTGCTCCCCAACGTCCCTTGACCCAATGGACTGGTACCGTAGCATGTTGAGAGGAGACATCAACTAAATTGGGGCAACGTCCAGAAGGCGCATGCTTGTCTTCCACAGACCCAACAATCTCGAATGTTGATTCTTCGTGAAGTTTCTGGAACAAAGCTTGACAGTAGACGTATCCCACCAACCATTGGCAGCGTCTTCGTACTCTGTAGTCCAGCTTTGTGGCATCTTTCTGGACATTCTCTGCCCCAAGGCCAATGTTTCAATACCCCTGCAGGGAGGACACTCTTGAAATTGTCTACGGGTCGTCGTGACTCATCTGTTCCGGCTGACTTCGCCTCGCGAGACGTGGAGGTTGAAGTTCACCAGAGGCGCGTCGCCTTTGTTGTTGGTTGCTCATTTTGGTGTTGCTCATGGACTTGAATGTCGGGCTTCGTGTAGTCCTGTCTGTAATGAACTTGTTATCCTCTGCGGTCTATTTTCGTCGACAGCCAGGGACTTACGAGTGTGGTTGCAATGAGCGCTGGAGAAGAAAGGAGGAAGACGATCAAAGACTTTGTACCGTTTGTGTTACTAAGCAAAGCGGGCATTTTGCCAGTGCCGGCTGGCCTACCACAACCGGGCTATTTCTTGCAAGAAAACTTTCATTGCTCTAATTCTTGAGACGTAGAGTTTATTCCAATTCTGCATACAAACCCTTAACTTATTCATCGTCACTTCAATCACCTCCGCTTAAGCAAACTTGGAATCGACAGTGCTCCGAAAGCTCACGATTGCATGACCGAACAAGACCCTTTCACAGGCAATACCAGCTGAACAATTATTCCATCTCAAGAAAGCGACATGCGAACACGATACGCGGTCACAAGCGGATGCCCAAACCAAGTACACAGTTGTCATCTCTCGGAACAACGCATGCCACGATCCTTTGTCGAGTCCAGATCGGTTCTCGCTCTTGGCCGAAGCACAACGAACAGCAGCACGATTGATCTCTGACCGACTTCGACGATTGCTCGAATTGTGCTCAAGCGACAGCACGACAACCCGTCTCATCGTTTTGACACAAAGAAGCACTTTTCAACCAGCAACCGACCCAACGCGTATAATAGTCAGGCCCAGAGAGTCGCCAGCGACTGTATACTGGAATGGGATCGCCTCTGAAGTCATGGGGATCTGCGACGACCAACCAACGTACCAATAATGAACAGTTGCTAATACCGTGGCAATCTCCAACGAAGCACAGCACCCGAATCCACACTGTTCAAGCTGGCGCCCACCAAGCCACTACGAGCTTTCGACAGATATTCCCGAATCAGCCCGTCTCTCCCTTCCCTTACCGCTACGAGGCCGTTGCTCAAGCCGCACAATTCCCGAAATCGATACGCCGAAGATAGCGTCAGAACTCGCAAGTGGCTGGTTAAGCGCATGCGCAGGTTCCGACATTCCGCGGCCGTCCGATCTTAGCTGCAAACATCAAGCCCGCCACTTGATACGACAACCCCATTCCACACCGCTGAAACTCAATCTGCGCCTCTCCCGAACTCAAGATAAGAATGCCTCGACTGCAGAGATTGAGCTTCAGCTACCACTCCTGCCGCCGCCCCCTCCCAGTTCGGTAAAGCTGCGATGTGCTCAAGCACGCCCCCCGTTCGTAACTCAGTCCCCGTCGGAATAGACTTCGGTACAATACCACGTGTCCTTCCACTCAAAGATCACGTTTACGTTTATTTGGCGTCCAATGGCACAAGAGTTGCCGTCCAAATTGGGGAATTCTCTCCACTTGCCAGGACAAGGAAGGATCGGTTCACCCATGACTCTGTTTTTAGAACAAAACGCTACTAAGCCGTTTTGGATGAAGTTTTGGGCTCAATTACCGCTGATAAATGGACAGAGACAGGATTTTAGTGGCGTACTGGATCAGGTGCTGGATTGCGGGAGTAGAGACTTAACATGGGCGATTTGGTAGGGCTCAGGGACAATTAAGACGACCATCACGGAGGCGAACATACCCATCCAGTCAATTATCGCCTGAGTCCGTCGGATCGGTATTCATATCCTGGAGTAGCTAGTTCAAGGCCAGTGTCGTGGTTTACTGGATATAGCGCATTTATTGTCTGGGCTTCAGAGTTGTCTCATGTTCACGGTAGTTAAAATCTTGGTTGATCCACGCGATGAACTCCAACCCTACAATCGTCACCAATTTGATGTGATGCCAATAAGATTCGAAGAAACGTTTGTGGCTTCCAGAACTTGATCTAAAACTCTGCTCAGTAATCAATACAGTTAATCGGGCCCAGACAGAAGCAGGACAATCATGAAAACTCAATTATTACAATATCTTACATTTAAATACCTCAAATACCAGAACAGCTACACAATTACCCTGCTCTCCGTCTCAGTCCACAAGAGTACGGATCATTTCTTCTTACCCTCCATACCATTCCAGAATGCATCGCGATCTACCCCAGGCTTTCCCTGAAGTTGAACAACTCGTCGACTATCGCGAAGTGCTTTTAGAACATCACGGAACATCCGGAGATTGAACTTTTGACCGGAATCTGCACCGATGAAATCAGTTGAAGCGTCCTTGTTGCATTTGTAGTTGAGTACGCCCATGTCGCCAAAGATGAGAAGGCCTGACCTTTGTCTTGTCAAAGCAACGTTGAGACTGCGTGGATTACCGACGAATAATGGACCACTTTCTTCCGTCACGCACAAAGCCAGGACCACAATCTGGGCCTCACGGCCTTGAAATGTGTCAAAGGTGGAGCACACAACGTCGCATAGCTCAGGCTCCCTTTTGAACCGTTTCCCGATGGATCGAAAGTTTGCGCGATAGGGCGTTAGAACGGCTATATCTGCCGGAGACAGCTTCAGATGCCGAATCATGTCCACAAGAAGGTCTGCAATGAGGTCCGCTTGTCGAGGATTGAGGCGGGACTCGCTGTCGGGGTACTTGCGGATCGGGCACCCCCGACAATTGAAAAAGACTGGCGCGAGGGTGTTACTCGCAGGAGCTGGAATGTGATACTTCTGTTGGAGGTAGTCCTCCACGTCAATGCCGATGGGAAAGTTTGTGATGCGACACAGAGGGCTGTACTTGAAATGCGGTATGAGGCTGGTATACACATTGTTCAGGGAAAGGTCGAAGAGGTCCTCAGCCATGCGATGCTGGGTGTAGAGATGAAAAACCGGCCACCCGAGGTGAATGAACCATGAAAGCCAGGAGATTTGTGCAAACCCAGCAAAGCGGTTGGTCGGGTAGAGGCTCATTCTATTGTGATCGGCCCAAGTCTCCCAGGAACGTTTTCGTCGTCTGATTTGGAGCAGTTCGAAAGCGGTTGAAAGGACTGGTGCGAGTTGCATTGGATCGCCAATAGCAATCATAGGTCGAGGCGTATTACCAAAGGCAAGTAGACCATCAGAACAGAAGAGTGTGGCGGCTTCGTCAAAGACAACGGCTCGAGCTTCTTCGTTGAAGGACTGGTATATCTCACTGGCTGATACCACAGGTGTGGTCGCGACAACATTTGAACACCGAAGGACGAGTCTCATGAGTTGAAGAAGAATATTTTTGTGGCTCTCTTGCTTCTCTCTGACTCGGTATTCGGCAAAAGAGGAGATCCCTCGAGCGAGGTTTACCAGGTGGCGAAACTTTGAAAGGCATGCATCGGAGACCGAATCGGATGCAAGCGCGTTGAGTCGCTCATGAAGATCGAATAGGTCGGCGTTGTCTTCTAGACTCAGTGCTGGCACGGTCTTTGAACCCAATACACGCAAGGTCCACCAGCAAAGTGAATGCTCCAACTTCCAAGGTGATGGGTTCCAGGCACTATACTCTGGGATTGGCTGTCCAATCAACGCCTTGGTGCAGTTCTCCATCTCAGTCTTGACGCTATAACCGCGTACCAACATGAGATGTTTGACGTCGAGACCACGGTCGATGAGGTTGCTGGTCGTCTTCATAGCGATGTCGTGGATCCGTTCGAGAATATTGTCGGTGGCACCGTTTGAAGAAGCGCTGACGTAGATATGATGGAGAGACGGATTGAGACACATGAGGACGATGAGGGCAGATGCGAGGTGGGACTTTCCAGTTCCAGGAGGGCCAGTGACCAACCCAAGGCCAAGGTGCAACTTGCTGAAGTACTTCTTGACTCGCTCTCTGTCATCTTCAAAGACGTTTTCGAGACATGCGTCCCGGATCTGAAGGGGCACATCTCGGAGAAGGTCAAACTGAGGTAGGCTGACGTTTACTCCATCCTTCTGGAGATCCCAAAGTCCTTTCCCGATCAATAGTTCATTGAACAAGAGCCTCTTGAGGTTGGTGAAATGATCAGTCTTCATTACAAGAGGAAACATACGTCCGTGGCTCAAAGCGTGGACCGCTCCGACGCGTTCGGTATCGCCGTGAAGACCAGATTGGAGAAGAAGTCTCAGGTTGTCGCGTCGAGATTCTTTAGCGGTCTCGTAGTCTTTATGAGCGATGGGGCAAAAGTCATGACCATCCAGTCCTTTGGCGGGTCGAATAAGACCAAGAGGGATCCGGTTATGAATATCGATGCCGTTGAGCTCGTCACCAGTTGCGTATGTCAAATGAACCGCTTTCAATGTGACTGGTCCAGACCGGTGCTCTCCATCGCGCTGTTTCCGGGTAAACTCGACTTCAATCATGTTCAAGTCACCTCGAAGAGCACGACGGGCGGCGCGCCAATGTTCGGGTTCCTTTGCACATATTAGCCAAGTTATCTTGGTGGCAGATGTCACTCACGAAAATGCCTTTCGGTTCCAGTAGACACACGAATTCGGAGGTCTCCTTGACGGGGCTTGAGCCGATCTTCTAGATCAACGCAGGCGGTTCGAAGTTGGCGATTGCATTCAACTTGTTGTCGAAATCCCACACATCTTGCACGTGAGTCTGGGTAAGTGCGGTGTTCCGCTCGTTCTCGTTCTTGAAGCGGATCGTTGGAGGAAAAGCCATTCCTCTGTTGGCGGGAATCTGTTTGCTGTACCGGTCCATGTTCCACCTGTGTCTGAAAGGGTTAGCTTGGCTAGAGAACAGGACAACAAAGAACTCACTCTTGGCCGTATCCATAGTCGCGGGGGATTGATTGGGAGTTGATGCTGTTGACGACATGGTTGATCTGATCGGTAGTAGCCTTCGTCAAGAGAGTAAAGGTGCGTCGGTGGAGGATCTCTGGCAGAGAGATGGCATCGTTGATCGGAGTATGCCGGTTGACCCAGTTGTCGACAGTCTCATTCACCCCATGAAAAGGCAGACCAAATCCCGTGACCGTGGTGCTTGAAGAGACACTGATCTCCAGAAGTCTGTAACCGCTGCTATCCCCAGCCAGGTGGCTATCTAACGCGGGCCAGTCGTCAGAAGGAAGTTGGGAGCATTTAGTGGTGAAGCCGCGCGGTTGAAGCTCGATCGTGATGTGGTACAGCGTCGACTCTGTCATGGCTAAATCGGAGCTATACCAGCTCCAAGTTCCGCGATCCGGGTCGCGAGTGAAGGATAGGCGAACTCCCTTGTTGTTGAGATTTACCCCAAGGTTGGGAGATGAATGAATGACCTTCGTGGCGCCCTCATCTGCATCATCATAAATGATGAGGCTACAGCCTATCTGACGGGGATGAGACACCATTGTTCTTGTTCGTGCGTCCAGGCGGCGGCAAGGATTTCGAGGGGATGTTGAAAAAAGATTACCGATGAAGGAGCGAAACCTTGCGAATGAAGAGAGGTGAGAGAGGCAGGGCTGCAGCTAAAGAAGCGGGGTAATAGAGGTTACACGAAGAGCGGCCGCACAGGTGAGCAAAACACATTCAGTGAGAGGAACCAAGAGTCAGTGGATGCTGCCAGCCTCTCTGTTTCAGGATCATGACACCGGTCTCACGATGAAAGGATAATGGATGACATTTCACCAACCTATCGTCTCGTATACAGCACTAACAGCAGGCAAGGAAAATAAGCAAAATTCAATAAGAGGACTAGAGCGTCAAAACCTCTCCTCTCACGTTACATATTCAGCCTGATGCACTCGGGAGATTGCCACAGTACTAGTACACCACGTGAGTCGACGTTATGCTGGAGATATCAAAGCTAACTAAGTCTAAACTTGTAGTAATTCATCATAATTTATGGTAAAATGTGCCTAACTGAGTATACCTCATCAACCTTTAGTGGATCCTTATGATAAACAGCTTTAATCTGAGGCACGGATGTGGTATTTGCAATTGAGTCCTGTGGGTGAGAATCACCGCACGAACTTGGAATTTACTTCGCTGTTTACAGAGCAAACTACTTTCGTTCTCGATCGTCAGTCTGTCGCTTGAAACAGGCTCCCATGGCCGTTGATAGTACTCAAACAGCAATCTCTGCAAGACACCTCTCCATTGACTAATCTGACGTGTTGTAGCTACTTTGACATTAAATCTTTCCACTATCCGCGACTCACTTTCTCATGCCAATCATCTTCCATCTCATGCAGCTGCGCCTCTGTATGGTATAAGGCTCCCAGGGCTTTGGGGCCGCACCAGGGTAGTCTTGCGATGGGTGAAGGGGCCGGCTCGTCGCCAGGAACGTCACCAAAGACCATGCATCGCTGGTGAAACATGAAGACGTAATTGTGATCTTATTCAGCTACCTGCGGCGCGAGCGCATTGGAGACCCGCTCCAGGGGGGCTGACGAAACATGTTTGGGCATCGTGGCTTAAAATTTCGACAGTGAAGCCACCACCATTGCATCGGATGTATCGATGAGTTCGAGTTGGATACGAGACTTGGAGAAGATTGGGCATTGGCATGAACGACATTTCGATGGGAAGAGGAGTATGGTGCGGTGAGTTGGATAGGTCAGTGGACTTCCGAAAGAATCTGGAGACAAATTAGATATTGCTTCTTGTGCAAGTGATGTTATGTAAAGCCAACCTTCAAAGGCGGTGGGAAAGCCGGTAGTGAAAGGGTAACGGCAAGCAGTGTAGTTGCGAAATGGCAGTTGCCTAGAATAGCTGTCAGGAAGAGTTGGGTGGTGTTTGTGGAGAGTTACTGGGGACTCAAGTGATGAGCCTGTAACTCATATCTTTGGGATACAATGATCTGTATGCCTCGAGGCGACGGATGTCGGATTTTCGGATATGACTCCTCGCCTATCAGACTGATTGACTCAACTGTCGTCTTGAAATAGCCTCCCACTTATCGAAGGCATCTCTTCCACCATCGGCGGCAAACGTCAATCATGCTCTTGCCAGTCAAGGGTTGGGCGCATCGAGTTCTATGTACTGAGAGGCTCGCCAAAATGAATTAGCCCTGTCTCTGAACTCGGGCCTTTATGTTGATCGCTTTTGACCTCACTCTCGGGTCGAGTTCGATGAGGTATGCCTGATGCTGACCGTCAGCACGAGTCGAGGGTCCGGGGTCCTCGATCTGATCATGGACCGAGTGAAGTGGAAGGATTGGCGTTGTTCAGTCAAAATCATTGTCGTGGGGATTCGGACGGTAAATTGGTTTCGTTGACACCTTCGGGCATCGCGTGAGAAGTAGTGTCTGCCTCGATTGTTAGTGGACAAAGGTTCGGTAAGACTCTCATTTCTCATCGTCAAGGCTCATTCGCCGACTTGATAACCTTGGTGGCATGCAGTATGCTGCGGCCAAGGGATATGGTCGTTGAGGGTTGTTCAAGTGAAGATTATTGGTGAGCACCTGAGCATTTTCTGGCAATGGGGGATGAAATGTTGCTCAAGCAACACCGTTGGCCGTTGACTTCAAGTTTCTCGCGGACAGGATGAGAAAGGCGGTTCTCGATGGACACAGGTCTGAGGCTGGCCTGTTACATGAGAGTTGACATCGCGCAGTCTTAGCTGAGTGACCTCCACATTGACTGTTCGATCTGCTCCAAGTCTCATTGGCGTACCCATTTCCCGTGGTATCTTTGGTGGCTCGATTGCGGCTGTCGATGAGAAAGGCAACTTCGTGTGTCGCTCTGAGTATTCTTGGTGATTGTTGTCCTTTCCTCTCCAAGTTCTTGGATGAGTATGTTGCTGTTCTTGATCACTTTCCTTGCTCGGTGTGACAGTGTAGTGATTCGTTGCTTGTCCTGCACCTTCCGGGCAATGTCCTGTCTTTCTGATCAGATCGGGTGACTTGTGTTCTGCGGACGCAAGGAAAATTCGGTTCGCATGTTGCACTCTTCTGAGCCGCGAAATACCTTTGCTGACTCTTCGGCCACTTGCTGCGCGCGGAGCTCATCTTCTCCAAGGAGCAACCTCAATCAACTCAATCCCCATATTTGTCCGAGATGTGATGTGGCTGGCGGCTGCCATTCTTGGGAGTATTCATTCGGTGAGACATCTTGATAAGAGCATCGCGCTTAGATCGAGTGGTGTCTGTATTGCTCAAGAGTAAAAGGGTGAGAGGGTGACTGTCGACGCTCCGGAATGGTCAACGTCGGTGCTTATAACAAGCATGACGGGCCAGCACCACTTGGATTTGTATATCAATTGTTTTGGCTGAGAGCAACACAAATGTTCAGTATGAGGTGAGTCGCGTTGAAAGTTGGGGGCAAGAAGGAGAGATGAGAATATCAAATGAAGGACACGACAGCGGCCATCTGCATTGCCCAAACATGGGCATGAGTGGGTCTTTGGGAGAAAGAGATGTGGGTCCAAAGATCTTGGGCTGGGGTGAGAGAGCTTCAAACAAAACGACAGGTTAATGAGGTTGCGCGGACGAGGTGAAGCATCATCGATGTGGCGAAACAGTTAAGGCCGCAAAAGAAATCATAATTGTCCTTCGACTGCTGGTATAGAGGAAGTTTTATAGTTATTTGTACTCAAGATTGCTTGATTTGAGAGGTGAGTTGTAACCGGGTTCCTCCATTTTAAAAGATGCATCAATTGGAGGAAGTTTTGTTATTCATGATAAAGCCGCCAAAATGACAGCCAAAGAAGGAAAACTGACCCCGAATACTCTAAATAATGTTGTTAGTCCAAAGAAGGATATTTGAAACGTCCCAGCATCATATTTTACTATACATCTGTCCATCAATGTCCAATATTCGAGCCAACTGGTTTCTCCTACCCTGTACTCTCAAAAACGTCAAGATTAGCCCCGCTTCCCCAGATCTACAGACCCACAAATTGTTTTGACCCGCCATGTTTTCACGCGTCGCAGTCTTGGTCAAGGAAGGCACGTCAACTCATGCCACTCACTTTGATCCCTTCGATGATACTCATCAGTTGTGTCCTCCTACTATTGATCTACAGGGGTGACCAAATTCTCAGATACCGTGCCAATCAAGTTGCCTAGAAGGCGGCGAATTTCAACCCGATTCACGCAACAAGAACTTAGGTATAGAGACTTGTCCTGCTGGCCACAGGTTGATGGATGCTAATGAGACCCGATAGAAGAACCATGCCTGAGCCGAAGTCACCATACCAATCTTGTCCCGAAGAAGATATACGAACTGCTAGCAGGCACCTCCCATGCGTCGGGCAGTACCTGGAGCCGACAAACCAAGCCAGCCAACGCAAGCGACGTACACCAAATTCACAGCGAACGGCGGCGCGGCTCATAAAATGTCAACGATGTACAGTCAATTTAGCGACTGGTGCTTGGTCATAGCGTATCCTGAACTCGACTGCAATTCGCGAACTTGGGGCTGGAGTTACGGTGAGACTCAAGACGGCACATGAGCTTCACCCCTTGAGCCACCAAATCCAAACCATGAATCCAGGACCCATACATACAGCATGTTCAAGATCAACCGGGTCCTCAAACGTGCCCTGGCCATTTTGATGTTTTCAGTTGACCTGATCGACAGGTCATTGTCCCATTGCCGTTCTCCCTCAGCGCGACAGTGGACCTTTGCATCTACAACAGCAGATCTAGCCCTGATTCACTTGTTTCAACTCATCGCGGCGAGACTGGCAACCTAAGAACGACGGCGCATGACCCCGAGTCGCCAGCATAAAAGCTCGCATCGAATTTGGAACAGCTGTCACCTGCATCATGGACCCTCTGAGAGGAAGTTCTGGATGCGCAAGCAAAACCGGCCCAGGTCAGCCGGGAAGCACGCTCGAGAGTATCCCTGGCTCATTCACCAGCAATATTAGTGAAATTCGACAGCTGCCTTGAAGAGGAAAAGAATGAGCGCTTCGACGGATCGACCTACGGGAGTACGTAGCTTTGGCTTGAAGCGCAAAGCGACGGCTTATCCCCTACGCTTTCAATCCACCAATTTAACATAGTGATCAGACTTCGATAGTAATGCATATCTTTGAAGATATCGACGTGCATCCCAGTTGAAGTGAGGCACATGGTGGATCGAATGCAACCATTCCCAGTCCAACTCATACTGGGGTTAAGCCCGCCATCTCCTGCAATTAGCCTCTGACTATGGTAAGTTATATTAGATTTAGGCTATTATCTAAAACCTGGCATTTATTGAACGCTTACTTGAAAAGACAAGGAGATGATAAAGATGGGCAACGAGATCAGCAATGACGAAAAAGACGGCGAGACGGCCACATACACTAAACACTGTTTCATTGGTCATGATTAGATATATCAAGCAGATATTGGATTTTAGTTCAGGCGCTTCTTTGAAGTCTTTCATAATAGTAAAGAGAGTCGATAGACCTATCAGAGTTGATCCTCACCATGATCGCATAAATACATGATGTCTGCAGAACCGTAGCTGTTTTGACAAGTTGTACGTAGTCTTGGAATTGTACTTGCAAGTTCTATCAAATGACTGTCCGTACATCGGTACAACGAAGATTCTCAATACACGTTCTGGACACAATACTATTAAACATTGTGGAGGTTGATCCAGGTCAAGTGACCCTCAATCGACAAGAAACACTGCGCATACTTTCTGTCTCCTTATACTTCAATCCACTTCATCCTTCTTAAAACCACTCGGCGATCAGGTCGTGCGGAACATAGGTCTAGTGGTCCCCCATGAGAATATCCTCCTCTAACGTCAACTGTGTACAGATACCGTAAACAACACCATCTCTCTCCAGTTCCATGAAAGCTCTCAAAGAAAGTGGGGAAAGATGGCTGTTCAGTACGAGGCCAGCTTTTGAAGAGACGAGAGTGTGCTCAAGATAAGCGTTGCCTTAATCATCAATGGCAAGATGACTCTTAGTGACTTGGTAGATGTAGGCGCATAGAAGATGGCGTAGAAGTTGTTTCATCTGATGGTTGTCCAGATCTCCAGCCTCATGCACGATTCGATGAGGAGGAAGGTGAACCTCGGGATATTCTGTCACCCCGTTCAAGATCGTCTCAAATGCTTTGGTCATCTGGCGGAAGATGAAGGCTCCTTGAGCCGGGACGGACAGGTTGTTATCGATGCCACATACCAAGGAGGTATCTGACACTAGGATATTGTCAAAGTCTTGCCAGCTGGCGGAATAAACTTCCATATACCCAGACCTTGCCACAGGCCACCCCAGTTTCTAACGTAGTCAAAGACGCCCCAGCCACGGGCACTGAATACGGAACTCCCATGGGTTTCGATAGCCCAGTCCTTCGTGAGTACTATCAGTATGGCGACCTGGACTTTGAGTCTCCTAACTTGAGGGTCTGAGGACTTCAAAGCGATGAAGTGGGCGGTTGGATGATCATACCGGACCAGATGCAGCGCTGCCTTGAATACAGACTCTTGGGAATCACCAAAGCAAAGCTTTGGGACATGCGGATGAATGATGCCTACCCTTCGAAGGCGCTCTTTCATCTCTTAGGCAATGCCTGGTGACTTGACAAAGGCTTGCAAGACACGATCAACGTCGATGCCCCAATGAGACATGCCATAGACACCAGCAATGAAACCACCGGCTTGATCGTTGTCGACATGAAGTGGACGATGCACGGGAGCACCTTCGCATGCTTGGAGACCATCCCTCCCAAGATAAATGACAATGTTGTCTGGAGATACTTCTGGCTGATAGCACCACCTCGTCGCTTGACATGATATGTAACGGATGGTAGGTGTTCGGGTATGAAGAATCAATTATCGAATAGGGCAGTATGGAGGGCTGTTGACTCTTCTGTGAAGATGAAATTTGTGGGTAGACTTGTGGTGGGTACAATACCACTGAAGCTGGTGCGTGCCAGTTGCCGGCCTCCATCCTCCAAGACGACTGTTTGGGTACCTAGATGAGCAAGTCTACATTCATTATGCGTGGGACAGTTGAATCGAAAACGTTTCTCAAGAATGATAGTTCTTTTCTGGTCTGATACCGGACGTTCCTACGTATTGCATGTAATCTCATATCCACCGTAACTTCATCCTTGTGAATGCACTGCAGTCTCAGATACTCAGAATGCAATTTTCCAGACAGTAATGTTGTCGCGAAACTTTGGAGGAGTACATTGATCTCCCCAGGCCAAGCGTTACCAGAGTCCCATCAGAGGGACATTGCTTTTGTTATCAGGCTGCACCAACTTCTCACGGGGCTGTCCGATATTAGTTGTGTGAGTTCTGAAAGGAGCAGTTCCTTTCAGTTTGAGGTCGTGGACTTTGGAGATCTCGTGAGAGTGTTAATCTTAAGTATTGTCCAACCAATGATGGGGGAATTGTGTCCAGATCAAGAAATCATCCAGCTATGATGCCTCTAACCAGACAAGTTATTTTATAGATGTCCAGGAGACCTCGAGGTATAAGTACCGGAATGTTATTTATTTAGGGTGACATGATTTTATGTTGGCTACACTCCCTTTGGGCACGCATGACTCCAAATAGAGCAATGTGGATTCTTATCAGTCTTAATCATCCACGTATGTTCCATTATCTTATCCCATTCGATAACCATTACGTCTTTCAAATTTCTCTCTCAACTACCTCCAAATCCCCTATCGAGTGCGTTTCAGACGCTCTATGTCACGTTGCTGCTTTCTGAACTGTTCCTTGAGGCCCGCCAACTCTTCTCTGAGCGCCTCAACCTCACCGACCGATCGAGTGAGTTGTGTAGACATGACTGGTTGACGAATGCAAGGTTAGTCAAAGTGTTGAGTGTATACGGATGACAACGTACGTTGAGAGTTTGGAGGGGAGGGGGGCTTCTCCGAGACAGTCTTGAAAGCCACTGAAGACTTGCGAGTAGCCTTTGTGGCCACGGTAGGCTTGGCCTGTAAGGCGAAGGGGAGCGAGGGATCGTATTTGACGGCCACTGTCTCTGTAGCCACTGCGGGAGACTTCTGAGAAGTCTCTGCGATTGAAGCAGGTTGAGTGGGGGCAAGTCCTGGCGTGGCTGTATCTTTGCTGGAATCCTCGGACTTAGGCGACTTTGCGGAATGTCCCTGTGACTCTTGAATAGATGCGTCTCGAAGTAGCCAGCCTTGATAAAATCGAGAGACACCTTCGGAAAAGTCCTTTCTGGGAGGCATGTCGCTCACGGGAACAGGCCAAGGATGGTCGTCGCGTGATACGTTGCCATTGCCAACTAGTATGTGGTTAGTAAATTGAGAGTAAAGAGACTGCTAAGATTATTAACTTACGAATGCTGTACCAGACTTTCTTGTCGACAAAGTACTCGAAGTAGGCCTGGCCAACTTGGAGAAAGCCTTTGCTTGGAAGCTTGGCACAAACATCCTCCTCACAATTCTCGCGAATCGCCTTCACCTGGTCTGGATTCCACAAACCGAGATGTCGGAAAACCTTCTCCATATGGACACGGCGAGGGCCGACTTTGGTGAAGTCGACCTTGGAGTGGTCGAAAACGGGTTGTTCTTGGTTGGGAGCCATTGTGGATGATTTGTGATGCGTTGCGTTGTGGCGTTCGGAGGAAATGAAAGTTGGAGTTCTTCTGGTGTGGAGGATCGTAGAAGTTCTGCGGCATGTGGATTGCTGGCGGTCTTTTGGAGTAGGGCTAGAGGCTGGATGATTCAGGCTGGTTGTGCTTTTGCGTGGTGACGCGAGCTGAGAGTGGAGGGGGAGAGAGAAGCTCGGTAGCCCTGAGTGGATGGGGGAGGTTGTTCATTGTAGATGGCGAGGCAACCCACTGTTGCCCACTAACAATCCACGAAGCAGTTGGCCCGGGCAAGACTGCCTGAACCCACTAATTAGCGCTAAACTTCCAGTGGCACCCACTGAGAGAGCGGATGAGGTTAATTCCACCCCAAGCCACTCACTACCACTAACCGTCCACTAACGCCACTAAAGGTCACTGGAGGCGCTGGTCGGAGCAAAACCACCCCAAACTCACTAAGTGAGGTGGCCGCCCATAAACGTCCACTAAGCCCACTAAAAGAGCGGGCTCAGTAAAAAAACACATCAGCCCACTTATCCACTCAATCATCCATGAACACGCTGAAGCGGCTGTAAACAGTCCCCTGAGCAAATCGAGAACAGCGCCTGGGGCAGCGAACCCTGGAGAAAGAGACTCACGATGACATGAACTGGCAAAACGAGTGTGGCTGTCCGAGTAAGCAAACAGACGATTTGGTACACGACCTGATAGAAGGAAAATGAGACTTTTGTATCCGCTCAAACCAAGCACAGAGACTCCTTTGTATGTAAACTGCGTGCTTTACACGCCTGATGTCTTGCGATAAAGGTTGGTTCGATGCAGCATCCACATACACTTGCCATATAAACCCATGCTTGAACTTCTTGAGTGATGGCTCAACTGACAAACACAACAACGAGACCCTGTTGCAAAGATCTAAGTGATAAGGAATTGGTCTAACGCTGGAATTTGTTCATGGGACGTCTTTCAATGACATGCATACCGCCTTGAGATATGCGGGAGCCGGCACAACGGTTATGTTTAAGATTACACGAGTAACAACGGAAGACAAAGTGCCCAAAAGCAAGACAGTTGGATGTCTCTAGTACGACTGAACGAAGAATGGGTCTGTTTCACTTTCAGAAAGTCCCTTTGTGGGCTTATGCTGTATTCGATTGGTGATTTACGGCAGCTTTTGAAGTAGTATGAAACTGTCGACGCAGAGGACCCTAATACCGTCTCAGACCTTCCCAGCCTGCCACGGGCTGCGAAGGTATCACCTGTGTATCCTATCTAAATCGTGGTTAAACATCCCCTGTGCAATGGGGGAGAAAATAACTTGGCAAAATGCTTTAAATAGTTATCTACTGTTGCTCTATAATATGAGCCTCTTCGCCAGTCTATATCGCAGTTCCCTAGATGCCAAAGATATTGATGGTCCCCGAGGCTGATCGCGAACAATTTGGCAAGTCCAATTGCACAACCTTCCTCGTCGCCCCTGTGTAAACTTTACGCTTAAAACATGACCAATGATCATCCAATTCACGTCCCAATTAGGCAATGAACTGACCCCAACGGTCTTCAGCCACCCCTGAACACTGTTGTATGTGGGGAGTACACTAGACACTGACCCCATGTATCCACACAGCCTTGGGACGTTGGGATCGAACGACGGTAGATAGCTTAGTAGGCCGAACGAATCGCATTCTGTACTTTAGGAGCTGGCTTCGGTGGCCATGGGGTTTGTTAGGCATGCCTGGGTTTCGATATGTCAAGTCAGTTGTGTTCCTTGATCTCGCGATTGATATAAGAGAATCTGTTGATCGCATTGGCGTGTGTGAAGGATGACGACTCAGATTCGGTTGGAGGTGAGGGGATAGAGAGATATCGAATCGGAAGAAGCCTGTATGATGTCAATCTGCATTTCATGAAAGGGCTCCCCGCCAGGTCACCCAGGTCTGCCTCGTGAGCCTGCAGGTCTCATGTGAAGTGCAGCATATAACTTCTGACAGTCGAGGCCAGACTCAACGTGAAGTGCCACTGCATGGTGCCTCCGTTGCTGAGAGACTTGGACGCCAGTCTTGCCATTCATGTGGCGATGCAAAAGCCAGGGGTGTCCGATTTCTAAATGACCAGAAATCGGACCGGGGCTGTAATGGAACGTTGGTGGACACTCATAGTTCGCTGAAGGCTTTCAGATTTGAGCGTGTTATTTTCGTGCTGCCAACATATTCATTCGCCATCCATACACAAGAGGATCGTTGCCAGTTGATGGCCTTGTGAACTATGAGCCGAAACTGTTTGTACCTTCACTTGCCCATGATCAGTACGCGAACACCGCACCGCGAGGCCTTATTTGCAGGTTGGCTGATATCGATCAAAGTTCTCTTCATTTGCACGCACGCTGAGTTATGCGGGGTCTTGTGCAAGAGTGTCGCAGTCGAGCAGTGAATTCCAGACTGTTTGGGGAAATCAATAAGTCGAGAGGAGAGGTTTGAGGTTGACTGGACGTGGGACAAATGAGGTCAAGTTGGCAGAGCTTGAGGAAATGATTTGACAAAAGCAAATCCGGGCAGAAAATGAGGCTCAAGTTGTAGTGAGTGATTTGCGGTGCTGGCCCCTGTGTAACCGCAACTTATTGCCAGCCGCTCACTGATGCACTGACAGCCCAGGTGATACCGCCTAAGTGAGCTGCGAGGGGGGTGGCCCCACATACTCGAGCAGGCTCATTTGTTTGCTCTTCAAAAGTTATCTTTTCAACACCTCCAGACACCGCAACAACAAACCTTCCAATCTTCCCCATCGGAGAGGCAAATCATTCTGGAGCTCTCAGATTGAAGGACAGAAACGCGCCAGTTACAGCAAGGTAAGGAACAACTAAACTCATGCTCAGCTTTCAGACCCAGCTAACAAGCGTACAGTCTGCTCTGTGAGACTTCGTATCAACCGACCATCCAACTTCTTACCAACCAACAAAGCCCCAGCCACCACCGCCGCCATGAGTAGTCATCCCGGAAGTCCTCAATCAGGACAAGGCTTCACCGTCCCTCAGCTCGACTCTTCATCATTGAAGGATAAGCCCGTTGAGGATACTTCGAGGGGGGTGTCCAAATATACCACGCCTGAGCGACAGAAAGGCCATGCTCGAGAGATGTCCGAAAATGCACCCGAGCACCAGATACCTAAGCAAATTACGCCCATGCCAGAGGCAACTCAGCACCAAGTTTGCGCTGCCCAGGAGCAAGCTGCTGGGCCAGTCTCTGTCAATACCAATCCTTCGAAAGAAGGTAAAGACAAGACAAAGGCAGTCTCGCAATTGTCGGGCTCGGCTGGCGAGTCATCAGCTGAAAGCACAGAGACCACGGGGGATGCTCAAACTCGACCCTCCCACCTTGGCCTGTACTTCCACCGAACCTGCCTATGCCAAGACGGAACATCCCCAGATTGGCGAGTACGGGAGCAGGTCGCTTCCCTCCAGGACACAAGGCTCACGACCTGTTCGTGATCCCTCGGTCAGAAATGCTGAAGATCTTGAAGGGGTATAAGTAAATACGACAGCACACTTGAGACCGACTTCAGCAGAAACTCGAGTGGAGATTTGAGGACCGGCTTGAGTTGCCATGGGTCTGAGGTACCCTTGAAGGACTTTGGCCGTCTTGTATTGATCAATCTTGATGTTGAGAGCTCCGGAGTGGAATTGGCTTGCGGTAATCGACGTGGACTCCGGTCAGGGTATGAGACGAGGGTACGCCATAGTATTTTGTCGGTAGATAGAAATGTGATTACCAGTCTGTCGATACAAACGCTTGCTCGGTCGTTAAACAAACCGCTTTCGTGAAATATTCGTGGATCCCATGGTGAAGTTTATTACTCATTGTAGGCCGAGTTCAGTATGACTTGTGAGTTCTTACCTTGCCTGTATGAAAGTACCTCGTTGGCCGAGAACGGTGTGGCCGTTTGACATCCTAGCTGTAGCCATTGAAATGTCGCAGCGATCCAGGCCCTTCATGGTTATCCCTGTCCGTTAGAGCTCCAATCTCTCGATCGACATCTCGCTAGGCAGCTGTTGGCGGGAGAGGGGGTTCCACATGCGATGAACTTCATGTTTCTTGGAGAGCGTTCGCAACCGTGAATCGAAATGTCTTTGGTGAGGTTTGCGCCATAACCATAGCCTTCCGGAGGTTCGATGAAGCACCACGTGAGATTGTCGCTTGCCTGTGGGTTAACTTGGCCTGTGTCACCCAATATCGCTGTGACGTTCGTAAGTTAAGGTTTACGAATGATGGTTTGTTAGTAAAGAATTTGTAATTGGTTGTAAGATCCTTTGTCTGGACTTGTGTTTGATTTGTCTATCGCAAACCTATAATTTAGGATTCTGGATGAACAAAGGTGCAGTGGACAAAGGTACTAAGGTGATCATAAGCTATCGGTCGCAGGCCTCAACTACAAGCGGACAAAGAGACATCGGGAGATCGCTTGTGGTGTTTGGCTACTTGATCTGGATATGCTTTCATGGATACCTTCAAAGAGTGGCTGTGCGTGTCAAACTGCGGCACTTGAACCAGCCGAAGATTATCCGGAAGTGGAGATTCCAAGGAGCAGCCACTGACAGTTCAGGCGGGTAGTCGACCCAAGAATCATCCACCAACGACTGTCAAGCCATTCAGTCTTTCGGCCTGTCAAACCTGTTCATTACCACTCATCAGCGACAACAAAGTCACAACAACTACAACAAGGATGAGCGCACCACAATCCAACAAGAGACACGCCTCAGGTGCTCATGAGAATGAATCTATCAAGAAGAGAGGTAGGCCGTCAAGGTCAGAGCTTGCTTCGACTATTCCAGAAGACGCCATCAACCGTGTTCAAGCCCGGAGAATGCTACGTCGCCACCCACCCGTACGCTCTTCTGGCGATGAAGATAGTTTTGACTACGATGATCTCGTCTCTTGGCGTGTAGAAGAACACTGGGATGTTGACGATGATGCTGCTGTCGATCAACAATGGGATCAGTTAGAGCTGAAAGATAGCTCCAGAGACATGAACTCTCCACAATATGCGTCATTGTTCTTGTTGTTCAAGATCTCCCTCCGATTGTTCAAAATTACACCAAATACACTCGTCTCTCCACTCTTCGCCCTTCGATACCAAGCTGTGTCGAAAAACAACTTTTCTAATGAATGGATCATGTCCAAGACTTTCTGTGACCGCTTGATGAGTCTAATGGTCCATCCATGCTGGGAGGATGATATATATCTGCTGGCCCTGGCGCTGAAGTGGACAGTCATTTGTAGACTCGACTCGCGTCGCAAATGGCTTAGTGGTTATCAAAACTCTTGTCCAGCCCTCCAATCTCTCTTCGATGAGGCCGAAGGTTACAAGGGCAAGCGCTTACCCATTCCGTACCACGAAATGCACGAGCAGGCCAGGGACCGCGCTTCCAGGGAGGGCGAGTCACCTTCTGAATTCTCGGACCTTCTTTACCAAGTGGGTGAGGCAGTTTATAGAGACAAGACAGTGAGGCCCAAAGTTGAGCCTGAGTACGAGGCTGTCTGGGGTTTTCTGGCTCTACCACTCACCGTCTGGGATCTTAGAGTTCTCTCCAAGGTTGTTGACTCTATGAATTTCAGGCCTGAGTGGAACTACAGCGTTGAAGATGCCTTGAAAGGTTGGAAGGCGGAGAACTCCGGTCATGAGCTCCCGACACAGGACAAGCTCTCCCTTGTTTACGAGTTCTCTCAGAAAAACGTATTCCGACATATGAGAATCAGAAAGAGAAAGGCTCCTACCGATGCTGGTAATGATGAGGAGCAGCGCCCAGATTCTTCCCCGTTCAACGACGAGAATGAATCTGAGCAAGGCATAATTTTCTCTCCCCCAAAGATCCAACGTCCTGGTGCCGATGGGGCCAGTGATGAGAGTAGACCGGTGGACGACAACAATTCTGATTCCCCCTTGATCCTTCAACGTCACTCACACGACGACGACAATGATGACGATGTGGACGGTACCTTCGATACAGGTGTCTGGGATAATTCAGAAGAGTTTGTTCCACAAACTACCCACGAGTCAGATGCATTCCGTAGTCATGGACCAACTGTCTCTGAAACACTACCTCGACAACCTGCTGCATCAACAATTCACGCTTCCCATCAAGACAGAAAAATACTTTCAGAGATCTCAGATTTGAAGAGGGAGAACAAAGAGCTGCGGGAAAGTCAAAAGCGACACGACGAACTCATGATCACCATGCAGTCCCAGCTCGAGAGCATGCAGTCTGAACTACGTGAGTTGAGTCAGAGGAACCAAGCATTCAACCCCCCACAGAACAATCAGCAAAGTACCATTCTTTTTAACAAACCTGCCACTGAGTCGGAGAGTATCCTGGACGCTCCTGATTTGTGGGACCGACTCTCATCAGAGGGGGTCACTGTATATGAAGCATACGGTGGGGGATGGGCTGGAGAAGGGGATCTCGAAGTGATGTAAGAGTTACAGTCGTTTAAGCGACTGACGACCCTGTATAGGTTCCGACTTACAACAAATGCTTGCTCTTTACCTTGTGTACGACTTCTTAAAGTTGTCAAAGCTTGAGTCATGTAGTTATCAAAGTAGACGTATCAGGGGAACAGATTCTATTAGACATGAGTCTGGATACTATAGAATAATTGAAAAATTGGTGGTGGAATTGTCGAGGCTTCCAACGTCTCTTTTGTCCAGCTTTCACCCATCTCTACGCGATGAACCTTCTAGTGAAGCCCCCATCCTTGCATGGCCTTGGTTATTGAACTAATTCGGCCGCTATGAACTTACCGTATCCTTTGTCCATCCCTGAACTTTATTTGGCCTTTTGATGGCGCTCCCTCAACGCTGTCGTAGTCCCACGGGCAAGGACTGGGCTGAATCCGCTCGGCTAATGATAGGTTGATGTTATGAGCCATCATCCATTGACGCACTACGACAACGGATCTCATGTGGGGATCGTTCTCAGTTTTGAAGGTGTTTCAAGATTAAGGAGTCTCCATGGGTGAATGAAGAAATCGTGACTGCGATACCAACTTACCGAGGGGTAACCAGTTTTCAGTGCAGCAGTTTGGAATATGGAGAATGAGGGTGGTGGCACTAGTCTCCTCGTGAAAGTATTCGAAGCAGACATGGCGGCACCGTTAGGGGGTGAGTGGCCCCTAACTCGTAGCGACAGTTGCCTCCGATGTGCGATAAGCGCCAGACAGGTGCTATTGGTCGTGATCCTCCAACAAGTGGCGTCCTTGCTCACGATGGATGGCTTCTCAGTATCCGTACCGCTTGGGGCTGATGGCCTGCTTGTAAATCGAGTGTCAGCTCTCCTACTCTCTACATCTGTAACCGGAGTTCAAGATATGGACCCTCCGCCACCCAAACCGCATCCGATGAGAGTACCCTGATCGCCCCAATCGTCGTCGCGGAATTGACACCTGTTCAGGCTTTGGTACCTGTGGTGCTCGTGGCTCGTACTCTTGTCTTTTTTGTCGGCGGCGCTCTTTGGCGTCGATGTTGTGCGATTACTGTCGTGAAGGGATTAAGCGAGACGGTCAACACGGAAATAACCCATCTTCAGCCGGGCATCATTCTTCCCAAGCTTGATGTGACAGCCATGCTCCGCCATTGTCCACGAGGTGCTACCCCACGAGCGAATGCCACGTTCCTCCTCCTCCCTCTCTTCAGCTCACCATCAATCGCCGAGAAAAACACACATGGTCGAACTCAATCATGCACGTGAACCCCAATTTGATTGGTTCCAAGCGTCCATATCGATCGCCCACTTGATCAATATTGATATTCTTGTGAAGGGTTTGGGCGATAGCGGCCGGCATGCATTCAGCGACGTCGAAAGATCTCGAGGAAACCTGATGACAGAAGAATATGTTAGTGATAAGCACCATCGATTGTCAATCCGACCAGTTCAAAGATTATGACTTGCTCCGTGACATTCTTCGCTCGTGAGATGAGAAAGACATGCCCTCTCCATAATGCCCTGACGCGTTCAAGCACTCTGAATGTTCGTGGAGAGCCATCAACGTAACCTGGCTGCGGCTCTTGGTATATTGAGGGTAGCCAATAGAGCATCGTAACGTTGACAAGGGATCGGCAGAGACATTCGGTGGTTCTGAGGTGGTTCCTCGCGCAAGGATGAATGAATCATAGCGAATAATTGTCTCCTGTTTGAAGTACAGGGCTTTGTTAGTCAGAGGTCGAACAGGGAGAAGGATTACATTCCATGGTAGCATGATCTCCAACTGGAGATGCTGGGGTCATCAAATTGCGGGGGCTGATGGTGACGAGATATTCCATGTAGTGAGGGCATCACCGACAGGTGTCAGAAATGGGGTTGGAGGTGATGAAAGGATAAGCAGGGCTCAGTTGGAGGAGAACAATGAGAGAAATGAGATACCAGATGAGACAACCGACTAACCTGCCTCGACTTCCAAAGAGCGTTCCATCATCCATGATAAATATTGTTCACAATTTGTGCAAATCGGTAGAGGTGGGAGGGTGTTGTCTTTGGAAGAGACCGGCGCACCACGGCTGCGTTCAGCAACGATGCTTCGAGATGAGAGTGAACCTGAGAACCTGTCGAGTCCACAGTGCAGGGACTCCTCTATGTGCTTTGTCAGTGTCGTAACTGGCCACGAGCGCAGAGATCGGCGCATTCTTGAACGCTACCCGGGATTGATAGCGCACCTTCCAAATGCTGAGCCAAGTGCCACGCGTGACACGTGCGACCCATGTTGACGGTTATGCTTATTCTTGAAGAGCCAATGGCGGAGAATATAATGGCCAAATCAGGAATGTGTACATCGTGACTGTTGGGTGCATGGCAAGAACGACCTAGCAGCAGCGCTGGCTTGCGCTGGTTGACTGTCCAGAGCTTGTTCCCTAAATCCCATAATGACCATCCCCATCAGGTCGAGTTTTAGGATCCATGGACGACCTGGCGAGCCTCTGGCGTGCTGTAGGGGAGTTGTCCAGGTGCTCCTGAGGCCGCTGGGTTTGGGAGAGTCAAGGGCATGCGGGAGCCATCGGCGACATCTCGCAGCTCAAGAGGAGATCGCTTGAGATTGCCGCACCGGAACGGGAGCGCAAGACACAAAATCGCGGTTCGAGGTCTTGCTGCGAAACGGTGACTTCCGGTGTGCTTGCAATTGTTCAGGCCACCTGGCATCCGGGATGACAGTGTGCGCCAGAAATTGCGACATTTGTTCAGCGAAAAAGTGGTAGGCGAGCTTATCGATGGATGAGGTAGTGCTCATGAAATCGTCGGTGGAATGCTCGAGATCTGCATCAAGAACATTGAAGGACAGATGAGTAACGCGGTGAATGAGTGAGGCTGAGCGATCGAGTGGTGGAGGAGATGCATGGATCGGAAGAGAGTGAATGATAGAAACGAATGGGCTAAGTAGATCTTGTACTGAATTAGAGTTTCTTCCCACGTGAAGGTGAGAGGACGGGTTTCACTCGCGGGGTAGGATGCAGCTATAACAAGTCAGCAATACTTGCTTCTCAAACTCTTGCTAGGTCCAGTGTGACTTCTCGAAGACTCATCGATAATTTGACCGAGACTCCTTCAACAACTTGTCAAATTTCAAAGTGTCATCTTTGGTGGATTTCTTCAAAGTTGAGGTCTGCTTTGATTGGGTCACAGATTGCTTATCGCGGAGTGACCGGCAACTCCTGGCGGTACAAAGAAGGCTTCGATCGGAGTGCTCGCGTGGGAGAGTGGACGTGTGTTTGACTGAGGTTGATATTGTCGGTGGCAGTCGAGTAAATCATGTTCTTAGTGGCCGTGGCCCATTGTCCGAAATCGGCCGGGTTCGTGATTTGAGCTTCTTGAGATCTTCGGAGCTTGCGTTCTTCGGGGTATGCTTTAATGGTGAAGCCGAGGTCGGAGTTTCCGCGAGTCATGGTTCGGGGGTATGATTCGGGGGAATGTTGAAGGTAGGCTTCAAAGGGATCGGAGTATGGGACGCTTCGGGGAGGCTTCGTGATGTAGGCTTGGGGCAAGGTTCGGATAAGCAGTCTTTGAGATCGATCTTGAAAGGAGGGCTCGGATGCGGCTTGGGCTTGGGCTTAGGGTTCAGCTCCGTGGCAAGCTCCGGCGCTTGCACTTGGGTTTCAACTGTGTCAATATGTTCATTCAGGGGATATTGGAGGGTCTGGATGATTGATTTTGGGGGCACCATAGACCTATGCGTTTGTTGACAATTTGGCCAAGTCTTCTGAATTATAGCAGAAATGCCGACTCCTTTGCAAGCTCTTGCACAGAGATGTCGCATCCGAGCGGCCGTTTGCGTTCGATGCTGAAGTCAACCGATTGACAAGTGAGGAGGGACAGTGAGCTTGGGCGCGAATAAAACCGATTTTAGGTGACAAAAAAACACCGAAATGTTTGGCCAATGAAAAGAGCGTTATTCGCCAGAGCAATCACTTGAAAGCACGTCAACACGACAATGATTTGCCGTGGTGTCCACTTGTGTAACCCCAACTGCCAGCCGTTACTGGCGCTTGACAGCGGGTGATGTATCCGAGTGAAATGAGAACGAAGATTAGCGAAGTTGTCACATTGCAAGACTCTGCTGGCCTCAGAACCCGAGAGGTAGTCGAAGGAAGTCCCAGACAATCGCCGCGACGGAGAGAAATCGCCTGGTAACTTGATCAGTCAAGCCTTGAAAGGAGCTCACAGACGCAACTTTGAAGCTACCCTGCCCTCCCTATCAGGGGTTACACGAGTGGGAACCACGGCAAATCATTGTCATGTCAAAAGTTCCTTGCTTGGGACGTGGATGAAAGGCACTGGAAAGACATTGTATTATCATCTCTTGCTTTCTTTATCTACTTCATTCCGCTTGAACCCGTTGAATTCCTGTAAACTTAAACACATCAGTTGCTGTTGCTCAAATTGAAGAGAAGCTTACCGCTTGGTATCTTGTTGTCCCAGCAAGCTTGACGGATGGATGGGCGACTTGCTCCCAAGGTGTCGTCGTACTACTCTGGTCCGAACTTCCAAGTGACAGAGGCAACCCGATTGCGTCGCCTGCTCGTTGTCTCGTTCCACGCTCAGAACCTTGCCAACAGGGTGTGGAGGCGCTTCTCGAGATCATTTCTTTCCTCCCGAACTCGATTGCCCTCGAGTCGGATTTGGCAGTTTTCGGCGCGCAAGTCTTCGAGCGCCTTCTTCAGGTCTTTGTTTGCCTTGATCAGACCTTCTTTTGACTTCTTCAAGTCAATGTGTGACTTTTCCCTCTTTATACATATTTGTCTTAGGTTCTCGTGTCGTGATTTCCAGAATTTGGCCGTCTTTTCGGCCATAACAAGCTGCCCTCGGATATCTCGGAGTTTGGACGGCAAGGACTCGAGCTTCTTCTCACACTCTTCGATGACGTCGCGGGGTAGTTGAGCAGGGACGTCGGACTGCTCTCCAGAGTTAGGCTGCGTAGACATGACGGATGGGATCGTAGATGGCTATGTATCTGCAAGACCGATGTCAGCATCTGGATGAAGGGCTTATGGGGTTGTTTACTGTTTGTCTGCAGGTTGTGGATTAAAGGTGGCCGAGAGAGGAAGAGAATGATTGAGGAGTAGCCGAAGAAAACAGTCCAACGCGTCTCCATTTCGGTCTGATTCACAGCTTACCTAATGTGGCACTCGTGTAACCCTACTGACTGCCAGCCGTTATCGGCCGGTGCCAACAGCAGATGGCGCATCGAACCGAATGATGTAATTGAAGAGAAAATCTCGTCGTGTTCCAAGGTGGTGGATTCCAGTGAGAGACAACCCAGTAAGTAATAGTGTCTCCGTGTTGTTTCCCAAGATACCGCTTCAAGCTCACGCAAACTCTCAGTGAAAAATGTAGTCCTCCTCCTTGAGTTCATCAATCTCCCTATCATTCTGCTCATCCACCTTGCAATCCCCCAGCAACAATTGATGACACCAGTACATATCCTTCTCATAAATCGACCCTGTCTTTAAGCCCGTCAAATTCTCGCCTACAAAGTATTAGCCATGTCCTCGAACCATCAGCCAACTCACCTTCGCGGTCAATCTGCTTCTGAGTTTTATCCAAATACTCAGCCTGCTGCTGCGTCATGATCCCAATAGGCGCCTTTGGACCTTTCCAATCAAGAGCAAGTGGTTTATGACTTCCACCAGCATAGTGAAAGAATGCCAGTAGCGTTTTGCACGAGTGAATGAATGATTCGCTGACGGAGGAGTTTCCCCTTGTCCCGAATCGGCTCTGCAAAGTCAGCGTGATTACCAGAGTCGCAGACTACTTACCTCCATTCCATACCAGTCGATGATGTACAAAACCTGTGCAAACTGGCGCTCCATGTTGCTGAGAAGTACAAAGGTTGTGAGATAAATCTCGTACCAATTCTCGCGCTTCTTCTCCATGATCTTTGCTTGCAGACCTTCGAGGATCCGTTGGCGCAGTGGAGTCATGATGTTTTTGATGACAAGATGGTCCATTTGCGTGTCCATGATCGGAGGAATCGGTATTGTACCTGTGCGGGGACATTCGAGATCCTGAACTGGAATCTGACCGAGTGTATGTTCGCCGCATATCATCCACGGCAGTTCGGTGAGACGACTTCCAGCCCAGAGTCGTAGACTGTCTTTGACAAGGGAGCTCTGCAATTGTTAGAAGGATCACCTCGGTCAAAGACACATACCTTGTGAGTTTCCGAGAATCGAATCGCTTCTTGAAGCGTCCAAATCATCAAAGGACTCTTCCCTTTGAGAAGCCGCTGAATATACACCAGATACGACTTCTGATTGTACTCGTCAATGACCCTCTGATGACTATCCATGTCTGCGATGTAGTAGTGCGGCAGCTCAAGCATTCGCTGGTTTCCTGCAGAGTCTCTCCAAGGGTATGAAGTCTTGTCACCAGGTAAAGGCTGGAACTTTGACACAGTGACTTCCACTTCAGAGCCAAATCCTTGGGTCAACTTGATTGTATGTCGATCGAGGTCGATGTTCAAATTTGAGTTCATGAGATCCTTGATAGAAAGCCAATCGTAGAGTTTGTTGTCGCGTGTAGAACCTAAAGGTCAGCTTGATCAATAACTGGTAGAGGGACTTACCCAGTCGGTGCAACGGAAGCTCGTGAAGATTGACTCTGATGCATGGACGTTTCAGAATCGTCAGTCTTGAGCATCTGGCACATGGCTCGTATGGATTCTCTGGCATTTCACACTACCCTGTTAGTTGAATCATTTGATGGTCCGGGGACTTACTCGAACTTTCATCCCGCGACACTTTTCACAAACACCCCTCTTTCTTGCCATTGCAGTAGCCTTTCGAGCTTCTTCGGTGAATGGACCTCTAACCCTAGTATTGAGTCCAGAAACAGTGAATACACCCTGAAGGTTACCGCCCTGGTCAAGTTTGTATTCCGTTCTGGGGGCCTGGATTGTTAGTCTGAACAGCACTGACTCATGCCACTTACAAGATCTGTAGTCAAAACATCTGATCGGTCTGGTCGCGGTTTGCGTTTCCGACTCTGATTCACTGTCCTCGGGGGACTCTGAGAATGCGCACTTGACCCAGGAGTCAGAATCGAGTTGGTGCTCGGCGTGAATCGTATCTCATCTTCTGTAGAGACACTCTGTTGCTGCAGAGTCAAGTCTGGAAAGACGTGGTCCATCGGAAGATCATGAGGTTCGAAAGTTTGAGTGTAACTCCGAGGGTAGTTGGTATAAGTCGGGAGAGTCAACAGTGACGGATCCAATGTCAACTCTTCGGCAGAAACGGGCACCGAAACACCTTCCACAGCTTCCACTGCAATGTTGACACCATCCTTCGGCTCTTCGCGTAAAAGCTCCGACAGCCATGCGTCATCATCAAACAAATCCTCCTCCAGATTCCCAATCACTTCAAACCAGTCCACTATCATCGTTAGTAAAGTCAAACACGAACAAAAGGACCTTACCGTTCTCAATCATTGTGCTTAATTCAGTAATCGGTACAAAAGATCCACGAAATAAAGTTGTGGGGTAGGAGGCTAAATATTCAGGGCCTCTACCGATTTCCATATCAGGCATGGATCCCGAGCTGACGTGACTTGTCAAACGATGCTTCTACCGACTACCATAAAAGGCAAAGATCTGCAGTCTTGCCTACCGATTACTCTTTTGAGAGGGTAAGAAGAGGACAACCACCATTAAAGACGAATCAACCAGCCACAGTGGGAATTACAACAACCATGGAGAGAACAATCGACGACGAACTTTGTATGCGACAAGCTACGATTGATGACTTGGACGGCATTACAAAACTTGCTATTGAAGCATTCCCTGATGATCCAGAACGAGATTACCGATTCCCATATCGACATGAATACCCTGAAGATCAGTGGAAGTGGACCAGACTCGAATATGAGGGGTTTTTGAAACAGCCTGAAAGCTATGACATTCTTGTCATGGAGGCTGGGCAAAAGATTGTCGCCCTGGGGATCTGGGATGTTTCTGGTCTCACTGGTGTCAAACCAGGTATGTCAGCCTCAATTCTCACATCCTAGCTAACAACCCAGTCAAACCTGGTGTTTTGGGCGACAACGAACGTCGTGATGCGAACCTCCCTCACGTGCGATATTTCGCGTCGCGCGTAGAAGAAGTTTATGACATGCATTTCAGTCAATACGGTAGCAAGCAACTGCATCTCGTTAATCTCGCGACACATCGAGATTATCGCAGAAGAGGCTGCGGAGCTGCTCTCTGTAGATATGGAATGGAAAAGGCAGAGCGCGAGGGATTTGTTGCTACAGTATTTGGGAGTCCAATGGGGATTAAACTGTATACGTCTGTTGGGTTTAAAGTCATTGGTGCTGAACCTATGATTATGCCTGGTGATGAAGAGGGATTAACTACGACCGCATTAGTTTGGGGTAATTAGTAAAACATGAGGCTCGTCGGGCGTCAAGACTCTGGTGATGTGCATATGTGAAACAGGGCGATCGCTTACCCTTGTCATCCTTCAGCTGCCTGATGTCTTCCCTTTTGGGAAATCGGTGACAATGCTCAGTAGACAGATAATCTCAGTTGATGCATGGGTCAGCCTGGCGAAGTGTCATGAGAAAACCAAGATGAGATGAGGGCCAAACATATTATTGAGTGAAATGTAAGGCTATGTTACTGGATTGGGAAATCGGCAGACTTTGATGAGCCTTTTTGTTAAAGTTATTAAAGTTGGGTCTGTTCAGGTGAGATTGAGATGATGCACATTGACGTTTTATCTGTTCGTAAACCTATGTACAAGATTACAACTACGTGAGTATGAGAGTCGCCGTGAGATCAAGAACATACTGACCATTTAGAGCATCATGACATCAACAGAAGCACAAGCTGGTTCATTCAGCTCATTTAAAGACGGCACAGAGCCTTGTTCAGTCGAGTCATTCTGCTTAAATCGATATCTGTCAGATTTTGGTGACAGACCAGTCCAAGAGCGATTACTGGAGAGCTCATTAAATGGCCCCCAAAGCATTCTGATTGAAGACTTGGAAGAATTTATGAGTCTCCAATGTCCCCCAGACTTTGAGACTTTAAAGGCAAAAGGTCCATTTGAACAATAAATCCTTGATCAATTTCGCTGTCCATCACTCCGGGTTACACTGACAATCACGTGGAATCGGTTAATTGCATCAGGCTGCACTGCACCCTTATAAAACGCTTCTCCTCATCACCAAATGCGAGGCATGGCTCTACGTCGGCTACATTTCATCGCCTTCATTTCGCTCTTTGCGTTTTCACTCTACATCATGTTTACCTGGGCGAATCTCCGTCAAATGGCGCCCTTTTTCTCGCAGAGTCGCACTCTGCCTGATCTCCTCACCGTTGACGCCAAGACTCTCGCATCCGGATTGACGAATGGGCATTTCACGAGTGTTGACTTGGTGGAGAAGAGTCTTGAGATGATTCAGAAGCATGACAAGTACCTTCATGCGATGTTGAGCATGGTTTCGAGGGATCAATTACGACAAAGAGCGGAGGTGCTTGATAAAGAGCGAAAGGAGGGCAAGATTCGGGGGCGTTTGCATGGGATCCCGATTGTGATCAAGGTATGATGATCATTGTTGGTGTAACGCAGGACTGACACGATCAGGACAACATCGCGACGGTTCCTGAGCTGGGAATGGAAACGACTTGTGGATCTTGGGCTCTGCATGGCATGACGCCGACCTCGAATGCCGATCTCGTTGACAAGCTGATCCAAGCCGGACTCATCATCATCGGCAAAGCGAATCTGAGTGTGAGTCCTCCAGTCTGAGATTGACCATGCTAACTGACTACTCACCAGGAATGGGCATACTACCGGTACGTCTGAAGACATCGAATGGAGCCCGACTCACTCTTCATAGAAGCAACGCCCTGCCAAGTGGTTGGTCCGGCAAAGGTGGTCAATGTCAATCCGCCTACGTTCGCGGTGGTATCGATCCTGAGGACAGCAACAACGGTCACAGCGTGAGTAATCTTCACTCACCGCATCCCAGACTAACAATTCAGAACCCCTCCGGCTCATCAACGGGTTCAGCAGTCGCAGTGTCCGCAGGTTACGCTCCCCTCTCCATCGGCACCGAAACAGACGGATCCCTTGTATCTCCAGCATCCCGAGCAGCTTTGTACACGATCAAACCGTCAATCGGGCGAGTTTCCCAGTCTGGAATCATTCCAATCAGTCATACGATGGACTCTGCTGGACCCATGGCCAAAACACCACACGATCTCGCCGCTTTACTCGATGTGATCTCAGGGACTGAGGAGTTTGCGACTCTGGGAGGATCTTGGGATGATTTGTCAATTGCGACTGTTGATTTCAAGAAATGGTGGCCAGGGGAGGATTATCTTAAACCTGTTGAGAGTGCGACAAAGCAGATGGTGAGTTATCGCTGGATTCATGACTATCTGGCTGACCTTTAGCACGCCGAGATTCAAGCTGCGTACGACAAGATGGAGGGACTTGCCAAGAAGTATGTTGGGGACGTTCCTCTTTCACTCCCTTCCGAGTCTTTCATGCTCGACGGGAAGGACAGTGAGGGAGTCATCATGAGTAAGTCAGTCTCCACCAATTTCATTGGGTACTGACGAAGAAGTGGCCGATTTCAAGCACGATCTGAACAAATATCTCGAGTCGGCGGAAAACTCCAAGATCCATTCTCTCAAAGATCTTATTCAGTTCAACAAGGCGCATGGCGATCTCGAAATGCCTCCTGGTATGTGCTCATCTCTACAGATGATCCCGCTAACCTTTCAGGCTACGATGACCAGGGACTCTTGATCGACGCCGAAGAATTGGATCTGTCGTCCGAAGACTACGAAAAGAACCTGTCTCACCTGCGAAAGGTTACGCGCGACAATGGACTAGATTACATCTTCAAGGAATACGGTGTTGATGTGATTGTCGGATCAAGCGACACAGCTATCAAGGCATTTGCAAGTGGAAGCGGTAGGTTTGTCCAGAATTCATGAACAACACTGACAATTTAGGATACCCCGTTGGAAATGTTCCACTCGGATACCTGGACTTCAACGGAAGACCTTTTGGACTCGCCGTTCTCGCAGCAAAGAACCAAGAAGCCAAGATATTGAAGTTCATGAACGCATGGGAGGGTACTTTCGGTCCGAGAAAAGCTCCGCCGATGCTTCAGTGATGTCGGGGCGAAGAGGCGAGTGGGATGCAGAAGACAGTGCGTGAATCGCGAGTGGCTTTCGGGCCTCATTTTATGGTGGTGTTCTGGGCATGGCTCTCATTAGACAGAGATGCGTGAATAAAATGATATGAGACCACCAACAGACAGGGATGTAGTGGATGGTTCAAGCAGGCTGGCTGCTTACGTGCATGTGCGGGGTGAGACGGGTAAGGCTCTTGACTTGGCTGTGTGAAGGGTTGTCTTGACGATAAATTCATCAGCGTTTTGTTCGACTTGCAGTGTAAATGAGAGTGTAATTGAGATCAAGCTACAATGCCTCAGATGGCCTCCAACTCACACGCCGACACTGAGCCTGAGAAACAGGACTCACTCTCCCTGCCAACCAAATCAGCGACACTCCAATTCTTCGACGCCTCAGATCCAAAATGGGCAACTGAAAAGCCATTCTACTCCAATATTCCCTTCACACAGACAAAAATCGCCAATACAAACGTGATCAACACAAGTGCACGAGTTCAAATCTCTGATATCAGAGGCCATGAATCCGACTTTACACTCGACAAGAATGGGTTCCAGTTAGTAAAATGGAAGCATCAATTCTCTGATCTTGGACCATCATTTCAAGAAGAAGGGTATCCTGCCGTGGTCAAATTTATGAAAGATGTTCTTGGGAGCCATGTCAAAGTTTGTGTGTTTGATCATATTGTATGTCTTCACGGCTTGTTCTGGACAGGGCTAATGTGACTAGGTACGTCAGAGTCAACCGCGAGGCTCTGCACCTGAAGATGAAAAAGGGTACATAGGTAGACCAAGCAAAGTAGCTCACAATGGTACGGATCCCATCCCATTTCAGATGGTTCATTGACGATCAGACCAAACCTACGAAGGAACAATCGCCAAGATCAAACACGACTTTGGCTCCCAAGCTTCGTCAATTCTTTCCCAACGCTTCAGAATAATAAAGTAAGTCTACCTCCCAAAACAAACCGCTCTAACAGCCCAGTGTCTGGAAACCCCTCAAACCAGTCCGTCAATATCCCCTCACACTCTGCGATTACCGCACATGTGATGAAAAAAACGGTCATCGCAGCGATTTAGTTTACCCCCACGTTGTGAGTGAGAATCTCCTTTTCTCTTACTCACAGGGTCAGAAATGGTATTATGTCAGTGACCAATCTGATGAGGAGGTTTGGTTGATCAAAACGATGGATTCTTTGGCGAGGAGTGAGGATGTTGCTATGTGTAAGTGCCGAGCCTCGTTTGAGATATGTACTGATGGTTATAGATACGCCGCATACTTCGTTCTTTGATGAAGACCCTGCTGTTGCGGAGGAGATACGGGAGAGTATTGAGCTTAGGGCGTATGTGATCGGATAGGCAGCACTCGTAGACTCACCAAGTCTGGCAGTCCATGGAGCATTGGCTTGAAATAATTATGAATACCTATCTGTATCAATGACCGGTCTCTCGGTCGATTGTCGCCCATGTGAAAGCTGCACCTCTCAGATGGGAATGCCGCGATCTCCGCATTATGTGATTGCTTATTTACATCTGAAACGTAGATAACCGTCCCTCAGACATCTCGGGACCGAAGTCTTCAAGTCACAAATCAGGCTGTGATCTTGTCTAGTTGATTGGCAGATTTTAACTGATCATCCTCAGAGCCTCATCTGAAGCGGGGTTGGGCTTTATCATTGGTCTAAAAGGATCTCATGATCAATTCCATGCAGAGACTACTGCACAGTCAAATGCAGGATTATCTCGGCGTGGGACGTCAATCTGGTTGGACGACATCAGCACCATCACAGTGTAATGGGCGGGCTCACTGCGAAGTAACCAATCAGTTACTGATAAGATTTCCTAGAGTCTGTGATATCTTGTTCAGATTTGATTGGATACTCAGATCTTGAGGCTCTGCTTGAATGATAAAAGACTGGGCTGGTCGACATTTGAATCGAATTGTTCACTCAGCTCCCAACACTCAATCGCAAATACAATAACTACAATTCAACGAGTAATAACTCATCGAGCTCTCAAGACCTCTTACTAACAATTCATAGACACTACAATGGAACCCGAGAGAAGTCGTTCAAGGTCTCGCGGCCGCTCTACCGACGCAGACAAGAAACGGTATGAGGATACTCCCATGACGCGGGAAAGCTCTTGGGACTCTCATGTCGTCTGTCCCCAGCCAACCAAGGTCCAACCTTGGAAGCAGGCTCTCCAAGTTGAGAAGGACTCTGGAGCCAATCCCCTTCTGAACTGGGAGCCCAATGCTATGGACTTTGGTGAGAAGCCTTGGCTCAAGATTGATTGGTCCAAGATTGAAGGTACTGGACCTGGGGGAGTTCGTAGCAAGTCTCCTGATCAGATGTGTGGTTATTCTGTTGGCAACCTCAAGCTTGTTTGAGATTGGGTGATTCAGATGTTATGGAAATGAGTTCAGGGCGCCAGAATGTGCTGGATATGAGTTAGTAAATTGCACTTATCTATTGAATCAGTATTCCGTTTGTCGGTGAATGTCCACGTTTCATTGCTTCGCCCGTACGTTAAAAGTCTAGCATTCAATCTAATCTTCTATTACTCCTATTCCGTTTTTCTTGTCTTTTTAGGCCAGAGTTTGCATTGTCTTTCTAGCAAGTGTACCCAGTTCTGCCATTGGGTACTCCAATTCTTATGTATTAAATATGATACTACTATAACGATTTGTCTTTGTTCCATTCATTGATATAATTGACATCTTTCAGTCAAGGATGTGGATTCAACTAAATAACTCACGTTAGTGACGCGTCAAAGCGCAAGTCCCAGGTTGATCCTTTGAACGCCAGGATGAGCAAGCGCCCAATTCTTACCATCCTTAGTTATTCGTGCAGAGTGATGGGCCACTCATATTGCCTCATCAGTGATTGTCAGCTGCAGTGTGTCTCAGCCGTACGCGCCTCTACTAAGAAGCGACAGCCTATTGCCAAAGCAGGGCCTGGTGAAAAAGATCATCCCCAGGCCAATCTTCCTCAACCCTTTGACTGAAGAGCCTGATGTTCCTCATACAAGTCAAATTCCGTTGTTCGATTCAGGGACACAGGTTGCTCCTCCGTTAGATCCTGAAGCATATGCGACGCCGGATCAAGTCTTGATCGTTGTTGAGAACGTTACAACGGACGAAGGGGGAAGAGCCTTGCAAGGCTTGTATCCAACTGCAGTCGCGAGCGGCGAGACTCCAAGGTATTCGGGGTAGAGACTCGCCTATCATTAAGTGGACATCGTTCCAGCTCAAAAGATGTTGTCCGAAAGGTATGCCGTCCTTACAGCGACGTCGTTGTATCTAACGTTGCAGTGTGCGGTCAAGCGTCTACATGAATCCACAAGTGCTGAGCAATTCTGGACCGAGAATGAGTCCTTTAACGTCTCAAAAGCTTCAATCACCCTCATCTGATAGAGACCCTCTCTGTCTTCAGATCCGAGTTGGGTGCGACACAATACTTTAATTTCGTGTTCCCACTGGCTCTTTCGAACTTAAACGTCTCTTCCGCGATTCTTATGTACCACTTTCCCTTCGAAACTGAAGTCTTGAATCCCTTTGGGGTCAGTTCCCTGGACTTTCAAGTGCGGTTGCGTACCTTCACGACTCAGTTCATATGGCTCATCGCGACATCAAACCATCCAACATCTGATCTATGAAGAGCCCTTCGGCAAAGGCCTTTCTCCGAAGCTTACAGACTATGGGTTATCTGTCGACCTGTCCAGAGCCAGAACCTGGGAGCAAGGTGGCAGAGGTTTGTCTCTTTTCATTTGGTGTTTTATGACTAACATCCATAGAACATCTTCCCGAATATAAGCTACAATGATGGAGTAACGGTGATTCGGTTCATTCCAGCGGATCGTTTGGCACGCTCACGCTTCGATGCGTTACGACTCAAAATTGAGATGGACTGGGCTCCACTCAATCAACCACTACCCAAGCCTGATGCCGGTGACTACATGGCAATTTGAAAGGTAAGTGTTGCATGGTCTGTTAGAAATTGTGTTACAAATAACCCTCCCAGTGGCATGAGGTCGACTTGTCTCTAGGTCTTTCTCAGTATGAGTTTGATCGCTATAAACCAACATGCTTCCACCTGCGCAGACTCATCACATCGTTATCTGACCACGAGGCGAAGGACGGCTTACCCTCTTTTGCATCTTTTCTGATAATTCCGAGGCGGGTGGTCAAAACTTACAATATGACACAGATTTAATGTAGTCAATGCCGCACCAAGCCACCAACTCAGGGTGCGGTCGGTGCGGTCGGTGCGGCCGCGATTCACCTCAGCCGCAACCTGCGTTGTAACCTGAACAATATTGACAATTGAAGGCCCTCAATGTGCCCTATAATAACAGGGTGGCGACTAAGATTGGCTCTTCTGGGAATTAACCAACCCTGCTCTAACAAACTGATCAGAGAATCAGGCAGAAAACGAATATCATCGCCACATTCTGGTCCAAATTTTGACTATACTCAATCCATTTTGTCTGTGCATATCTAACACTGAGGGGCATGAACACCGCTAAACCATTCCAGGACATTCACAGTCTCGGCACTTGGTCCACCACGCAATGCGGATATTGCGGCCGCTGTCGTACCATACCCATCACGGTCCAGTGTCACAGCATAGAGGACGTTGCTGCGCTGCGACTTTAGTGCGGACTTTGGCGGAGTATTGGCGGGCTTGCGTTCAATCAACACCGTAAAAGCCGTGCTCGTCGCAATGAAATGCCTGGAAACAAAGCTGGAGTACTTAAGCATCGACAATGCCGACCATAAATTATCTCAAATGCAGCATTCTTAAGTTTTATCATTCGTGAAAATATTGCATCTCAAGTACTTTAACAAATCATTCAGTTTATCAATTCACCGTCATCATCTTTTCTATACTAGCTTTGGATATTTCGTCAATCACGCGTCACGCCACGCCCCTTACAATGGGTTCCGCAGGAAGCAAGAGCGTCAAGTTCAACCCCGACACCGACATCCCTTCGTTGAAGGACAAGGTCATTCTGGTGACCGGCGGAAACAGCGGTCTTGGAAAGGAGTCAGTTCTTCAGTTTGCCAAACATGATCCCAAGGAGATCTGGCTTGGAGCCCGCTCCGAATCAAAGGCCAAGGAAGCCATCAACGATATCAGGGCGCAGGTTCCCAATGCGCCCATCAAGTTCGTCAAGATAGATCTCGCTTCCTTTGCGTCAATTCGCGAAGCAGCCAAGGTCTTTACGCAGCAATCTGATCGTCTTGATATCCTCTTGCTCAACGGAGGCATCATGTCCGTGCCTCCTGGAACAACCGACGACGGGTACGAGATACAGTTCGGCACCAATCACATGGGACACGCACTCCTGACCAAGCTCCTCCTTCCAACCCTCCTCCGGACTGCTGACAAGGGCGCCGATGTGCGTGTTACCGTCCTTGCTTCATCTGCCCACCAGTATGCACCTCCCGAGGGCATAAAGTTCGACACTCTCAAGTCCCAGGCTCTGGAGATGGGCACCATTACACGCTATGGACAGAGCAAGCTCGCCAATGCTCTGTACGCCAAGGAACTCGCCAGGCGCTATCCCCAACTCACGACTGCCTCGCTTCAGCCCGGTTTGGTGACCACCAACTTGGCCAATACCATGAGCAACAACAGCTGGATTATGCGCCTAGCGTGGAAAGTAACAACCATGTTCATCGGTGTAGACGTTCCTACAGGCACCCTGAACCAGCTGTGGGCCTCGACGTCCAAGAATGTCGTCTCGGGCACGTACTATGAGCCTATTGGTCGAACAGGGCTGGGTAAGCCGCATACGAATGACAGTGCGCTTGCTGCTAAATTGTGGGACTGGACGGAGAAGGAACTTGAGGGAGAGAAGCTCCCTTGAGGGTACTGGTAATGCGATGTCCATAGTTTTGTCAGACTAAAGTTTGAACTGTAATATGCTCTTAATCATTGCGCTAATAAACACATTCCGAAGAGTCCCACATGCCTATAAACTCCAGAGGTGCAAAAAACCGTTAAACGTTGTTAAAAAGTTGTTAATGGCTAATGGTAGCTGCCAAAGGCAGCCTATGCTTGTTGTCTCCTAATGTGAAGGCACTTCTGTTTCTTTCTGAAAAAAGGTAGAAAGGCCGTTTTAGCAAAAGATAAAGCTTTTAAGCCTTGCGTCATGCATGCTCTGGGTTAAGCTCAGGGAACCCATGTGCGGCCGCATCCCCGCTGGCACTAGCCGTAATCAGTGGATCGTGATCGACGGCCCCAGTGCCGCGTCCAAGGCTCGAGACTTAAACCTTGAACTCAGTCTTGAAGTGGTTAGACCACTAGACCGAGAACGTCACTTCAGCTCGGGAATCACATGGCCCGCAATGAATGCAAATGTATTTGAACCAGCTGTCCACCAGCTCTGACAAACATGTCCCCAGCATCTCGACCCTGACACTGTAAACATCGCCATCTGTTATATCTGCCGCCGAAATGAGTTTGAACTTTGGAATGCGCTGTAGCACAGTGGTACCCAACAAGCCACCCCTCACAGAGAAGAATCTACCCGATCAGAAGGGCAAAGTACAGTCGCCCCATGTCATTCCCTCAGCAAACACTGATTCCAATAAACAGGTCTTCCTCGTCACCGGCGCGTCAGGTGGTCTAGGCAAGCTCCTTGTTGATATATTGTATCAACATAACGGCAAGGTTTACCTCGCTGCACGCTCTCAATCAAAGACCGATGAAGTGATCCAGGAGATCAGATCAGCGCATCCGTCCTCGACTGGTGAACTTCACTTTCTTCATATCGAGCTTGATGACTTGGCAACAATTAAACAGGCGGCCGATCGCTTTTTGGAAAAGGAAAGTCGCCTAGATGTCCTGTGGAATAACGCAGGCGTCATGATCCCACCTGAAGGCTCCAAGACAAAGCAGGGCTACGAACTCCAGTATGGTGTAAACAACATTGCACATTTCTTGCTTACGCTTTTTCTTCGTCCTGCGCTTGAAACTGCCGCAGCATCAGCGCCCAAGAACTCTGTGCGCGTCATATGGGTCGCTTCCAGCGCCGCTGACGCCGCACCGAATCCAGCAGTAGATCTGACGAATATGGACTACCACCGCGAGGAGGGCGCGTGGATGAAGTACTCACGCAGCAAAGCCGCCAGCGTGATCCACTCGGCGGAGTTTGCGCGAAGAACAAAGGGTACCGGCATCATCAGTCTTGTAAGTATGACCTTATCGCTGACCAAATTCTTCTGACCGTGCTACAGGCCCTTAACCCTGGTAATTTCGTTACCAACCTTCAACAGAACATGTCCAAGATGGAACTCGCCATGTTTGTACGTCCCAACTATCTCGCATAACCCGTCGATATCTGCTGACTTGTACGCTTAGAAACTCATCTCATCGGATCCCATCAATGGAGCCTATACTGAGCTCTTTGCTGGTCTGAGTGATACCATCACCGAAGAAAACAACGGCGGATGGGGTAAGAACCGCTAGCCTTTCACCAGAGACAACGTCAACTGACTGAAATAGTATCTCCCTTTGGCAAGGTCGAGAAGATTCGAAAGGATTTTGTTGAACCAGAGCTCGGGAGCAAGTTTTGGGATTGGACGATGGCACAGGTGAAGCCGTACATGTAGTTGCATCAACCTCCTGCAACATCGTTACAGCGACGGGTGATATAGTGTGCTACCGTCTCCTGTATACATTTTCATGCTATCCAGTTTAGTTCGAATATAGCACGTAATTGAATCTATCTGAGATGAGTTCTCTCGTAACCCTCCACCATTATCCAGCAGCACAAGGCTTTATATCTAGGAACGCCATCTTCTGGCTTGATAGTAGCAGTAAGCCTTCCTGTTCAATCCTCTCCAGCGCCTCAGCAACCAGATGCATAACCTTTTTCTGCCTTTCAAATTCATTTGCACGCCAGATTGTAGTGTATCTACCAACTGCGCCAATGATCCAATCAACAGAAGACGCTGAGGTCGATAGGTCAACTGATTTAGCCTGTATGAGGGAGCTGCATTCGTCCAGGCACTCTTTTAGATCTTGCAGTTTGGAGTTGACATCATTGATGTTGGAGATGGTAGCTTCTGCGACACCCTTGAGCGTTGTGATCTCATTCTCTACCTGGTTAGCCTCCAAGATTTGCTTTTGGTAGAGTTGATGCGTCGATCTACGTGATGAGATATCGCGCTGGTACCGCGAGACTAGGACTTGCAAGTTGCGCTGCTCCGCCTCGAGGTTCGCGATTGCTTGCTGGTCTTGGGATATTTCGCTGTTCAAGGTGGACACGTTGGATTGAAGGGCGACAATCTCGTCTTTCAGATCCGATACACGAATTCCCTTGTAGCTATACAAATTAATTAGCTCTCTACGTCTGATAATCTGTGCAGTGGGTCTCCTCACCCTGCAAACCCAGCTCCAGCTGCTGCCAGTCCGAGAGATGCCCCTGCAGTGAAAGGTGCAGCCATGAGGCCGATGCCGGTCAATAACTATCTTTAGTTAAGTAAAGACCTCTAGGATTGGATTGCCAATGCTATTGTACGTACCAGTCCTACGCCTGCTGATTCCTTTTTGCTTTCACGTCGTCTGTGTGTCTCTGCAATTTGACCATTCTTTTGCGAAATCTCACGATCAAGCTGTTCTTTTCTGGTCCTCTTCTCAGTCGCCTGGCTAGTCTTGATGCGGATTTCCTCTTCCTTAGCCCTAGCCTTCGTTTGTGTCTGCGCCAGGATTGTTTCACTGGAGCTCAGCGAGCTCTCCGCCTGGCTAGCGAGTCCTTTTGCTTGCGACTGGCATTCGTCCAGCAGATCATCCTGGGCCTCAACATCCCGTTCGACGTCCATCACGCGGTAAGTGCAGTCCATGGTGCACTGCAGCGCGCTGTCTGCTGACGCCTGAGCTTGGCCTAGAGAAGCAACAATGCCATTGAGAGATCTGCCCAGACAAGAAATCTGAGGGGCAATGTCAATGGTTGTTTCAGGATTTTCAGCATCTTCGAGCAATATGAGGTATGAGCTCATCTGTACTTTGGTTTGCTGAATTTGGATCAGACTCTTCTGAAGAGAGGAACGAACAGCGGCGACCTCGGTAGCGACGCTATTCTTTGAACTGACATCAAGGGCATTGAGTCGCTCCCTAGCAGATTGAAGTGAGTTCTGTATCTTGGAGACGCTATTGGAGAGGCTCTCCATTGTCGCAATTTGAAGTCTTAGGGTAGTGGAAAAGCAAATAATAACAGCTACGCTACAAATTCCACGTAGCAATGGGCTGTATATGAGAGTAAATCAACAGGGAAAAGCGCCTGACTTGATGAATCAGTCTAACATGCAATATGTATCACAATAGATATTCAGATGCTACCGTTGGTCTAATAACTCATTGGTTTAATAAGGTTCAAGGTTTCAGCTGCCTACCGTGTGTCTTCATTTCAGCATTGGTGGCTTCTAGACCAACCGGATCGTCACAGGTTCGAGACCGCTACAACATTGTCAGGCTTCAGCTGTGGCACGAACGCGCATGATCTCAGTCAATGAGTGAAGTGTTTATTGGCTGTATAAATGCAGCCATGCCAATATATTGACTGCCTTGCATGGTGCGGCTGAGTATGGCGTTAACTAAGTCTCGATGCAAGACGGACAAACATCATGGTAGTGAACAGCTTCACAGTTCATACACAGAGGATGTTTTGGTTTGGTGAGACTCGAGACATACAAGTTACGAATTTGTTGAGTGCTGCAGTTGATTGGATGATACAAAACGCCCATGCAGCAGTGTTTAAGACATGCTGGTGAGGATTATCATAACTTTGACGCTACTGCACAGGCGTTTTGTATTATCCAATCAACTGATACAAAAACGCCCTTGCAGCCGTCAACTTGAAGTGAACGCACAAGTGGACGGCATGTCACCTGTAAAGTCCGTTACGACTCGGACACTGTGATTTTCTTGTTCTGGTTTAGCTACATCTGCCAACTCGCATGTGTCGGGGCTGTGAAGGTTACAAAACGGAAAGTAAACTAAGACTTTTTGTGAAGACGAGGAACAAACGCGTCAGCCAGGAACCGCCTCTCACAGTCGTGGTGATGATTTGTGGCACTGTATCTTCCTCTCGAGATATTAGATGTGGAAGCCTTGTGCAGGCTGCTGATCTGATTTCCTGTGCAGTATGTGATATAGGTTATGGCTTGCATGGATGGTCTGATAGTCTCTGGGTCTAGAATCGCCCTTGGCTGATATGGAATGCTGGAGGCTCGAGCGTAAGCGAACCGTGAATAAGGCGAATTACCTTTCCCAAGAGCCGCAATCCAGTTCAAGGAACCACCTCACGATAAAAGACAGAATCGCCCCTCTCTGGAAATTATGAATAACCCAAACCTCCAGAGGAAGGCATCTTGGGAACCGTCACCGCTTTATTCACACATAATGACTTTTGACCAAGGCCAAAGAACAATGGCCAGCGGCGCAGACTATCCGTCTCAACAGGAGGACGTTAGTCAGCCGTCAGCCTTCGGAGTTGGTCAATCCGACTACGACCACAAAGCCCAACAGCGAGCTAACTATGCTCTTGCCCTTCAAATGTCATGTCGAGATGTCGTTCAGACCATCAAGGCAAGTGACCTACTCATGAGCAACGAATGGGCAAAGCCCCTCACGCACGCCCCCAACGCCATCTCCATTATGGCTCTGTGTCTCAAAACAGCGGCTGTGCGAGAGGCTGCCAACATCAAGGTGAGGGACAAGGCGGTCACGGACGAGACCGGGAAGATCATTGGTCTGCTCCCGTAAGTTGTCTTGCGTCCGCACTGAGCTATGAATGGCTGAACGGAAATCAAGGTCAGAGTATTTTCGTACAAACTTGCAGCATTGTGCGGACATCGGTAGACTGGCCTTCCTCGATGCGCAGAAACGCATGAACAACCTCCAAAGTGTCGCCCGCAGCATGATCGCCCCTGAGGGCACCATCGCTTATATCATCGATTTACTGAGCGATCTGGAGGACGCTCAGGATAATCTTCCTGGAGCTATGAAGAGACTGGAAACTAATGCTGAGAACTTCAAGGCCGATGCCGAAGCTATCACCAAAAAGTTTGAGTACTGGGAGAGGGTGATCATGCATCTTCTCAAGAGCTCGCAAGATGCGGGGTGTATGTCCATGCACAGTTGCTGTCCCATGGTTTAATTGCTAACAGTCGGTCAGCGGCGACAGAAGAGAAACGAACTCAAAACACAGTCGATGCTGTAAAGGCAGATGCAGAGAGGCTCACAAGAGAGAGGGAGGAAGAAGATGCCAAAAAGGCCATCCAAGAGCAGCAGAAGCTGCTGCAAATGGCACGGAAAGAGGTTGAAGAAGCGCAGCGAAGACTGAATGTGCTTCTTGATCGGGCACCTATTGAGGAACCATCCGCATGGGCCGACATGCTGCACGCGCGGGAGCTCGTTCCAGATCGACCAGCACCAAGCCGCGGTATGTAGAAACTTACGTGCAACTGTAGCCAATCATGTGCTGACACTTTTATTGTAGGAGAAAAGGGTGCGTTCGCCAAAGGATGGGGATATCTGTTCGGCGCCAGTGACAGCGAGGTCGCGGCAGAGAACAAGCACCGCAAGGAACATGTTGAGGGTATTGGGAATGAAAGACAGGCCTATATGGCCAAAGCAGCAGAGCGTCGTGAGATGCAGAGACGGATGGCGCAGGCCCAACTAGACGAAGCCAGAGGAAACGAGACGAGGCTCTGGGAAGAGTTGAACAAACAGGCCGAAAAGCTCTCCATCAGTCATCACAGCCTCACCAAAGCTAAACACGATTTAGCAAAAACTCACGCCGAGCTTGAGCGTCTGGGCTCCGAGAAGATTGAGCTAGTATGTTTTGTTTGTCCTTTCTTGAATGCGCATACTAATGGGAGAAACAGGAGCAGATTATGAAGATTCTCGAGGAGTCCATGCGTCGATTAACAGAGCTAAAGAAGGAAGTCGAGGAGATGGCATTATTCTTCAGCCGAGTGCAAACCGTCATCACCACGACTGTTAGCGAGAACTTGCAGAGTTTTCTGAATCCGATTCAACGGGTCTTGGACAAGGGAGACAGCGTTGACAAGATCCGGGAGAGAAGCAAGCAGAACTTATTGAGAAACGCATTTGAACTGCAGGGGCGCTTCTCGGCTACCGCAGACGTGGCTAGCATGTACGTCCTCGTGTCGAATAAATACATCCGGCCGGGGATCAATCAGATGGAGCAGCTGGCGGCTATGAATGATGCCGACTTTGAGCGCGGAAAGGAGGAATTCAGGGAGTGGTGCGATAGTGCGGCGGAGGATATTGTGCGCATCACTGACGGTGAGCAGTCCAAGATGGCAGAGAATCTGACAAAGAGTGTTGAAGTTCTAAGTCAGAGGGCTATAACAAGTGCTTTATAAGATAGAAGGCCTATTAAACATAAGTAATATTTTTATTCTCACCTTTTTTATTGCGGAAACCCTTGTCAGTTGCTGCTAAGGTCCAAGGCTCTATAAGCGTGCTACATCCCGGTTTGTCGCGTTGGTCGTCGGAGCTTGAGCAAAGCTTTTTGAGCCTTACTGAAAGTGGAACTCAATGTCAATCGCATGAATCATTCCGAGTTATCAGGGAGGCTAAGATTACATTGTGACATCTTTTGATTGAGAAGGCAGCTACCGCTGACTACTCTCGTCTTGGCATGGGGATTCCGATCGGACAATGCGGCCGCACGTTTCGTACTAGACAACAAAGTGCGGACTACGTCCGAGTCCAGGGATTTTCAGCGAATTCGAGTCCCTTCTGTCTGATTCGCCATTGCTTTATTAGCACATGTCCCCCTGGGTACTGATACTGCTACAACCATATCGCCAGATTTCTCAGCACCAGCACGGTCGCTGAACCAAGTTCCCATTGATTGCTACGAATTTGGTCATCTGTCTGTACCACTTGCTCAACACTATCAAATATCGACAACATGGCACTCAGAACATTGATTGTTGGTGGAACAAGTGGAATCGGCCTGGCCATGGCCCACCACATCGCTGCAGCCTCCCCCCAAGCTCTCGTCACTGTCTGCGGTCGCACCAAACCTGCCAACCTACTCTCAAACATTCAGTTCTCACCAATCGAAGCTACGTCTATGCGTGGGATCAAGCAATGGGCAGACAGCTTCAAAGACACGCTCGCAGGGTGCCCTATTGACTTACTCGTCCTGTCGCAAGGAACTTCCAACTTTGCCGGCCGTGACGAGACCAACGAGGGGATCGACCGCAAAATGGCGCTTCACTATTACAGTCGGCAACTCATTGTCCGTGAACTGACTCCAGTTCTCAAACGGGATGCAAAAGTTCTGTTCATCTTGAATGGCAAGGAAGGTTCTCCGGCTCATATCAACTGGAACGACCTGGACCTCAAGACAAGCTACTCTATGAGCACGGCTGCTCAGCAGTCTGCGACTATGCTCGACATCATGGTCCAACATTACGCCGCCGTGCAGCAAGGGAGCGACAGACGACATTATGCACACGTGTATCCGGGCGGAGTCTTGACTGGCCTTACAAGAGCCTGGCCGTGGTACATGAGAGCAGGAGTCAAGATGGTTGGCCCCTTGATCGCTGTGAAGCCTGAGACGTGCGCTCAGCTTCTCCTAGATAATCTTGACAAGGTCACAAGCGCAAGAGAGAAGGATGGGTATTTCTGGAGCAACATCAATAGCGATGGGAGTGTCATCAAGGACAAGACCGTCTGGAGCCAGGACCAAATGAAGTATCTAGCCGAACATACATGGAGAACTATCGATACCGCTCTTAGTTAGTGGCAGGCACTATTTTGAGGCTCATTTATCTATCATATTCGTCTCTTGGACATCGCAGGTGGCTCTAACTTGGCCGACTAAGTAGCTAGAATTGACACAATTCCAACCAAACTTTGTGAGCCATAGTACCATTCACGACCATACACAGGCCTTGCGGACTTGTCAAGAGACCGAAACTCTAAAGACTCGTGGACTTTTCAGCCAAGTCCGCCCAGAAGCGCAGGTATATTCCTCGCATCCGAGATTCCTTTGGTCGGATGTCCCGGATATGGGTCTTCGGCCGCCTTTCCCGCACACCGCGTGTCGCTATACCTATAGACGAGATGAGCCTCTGTAGTCGTGAAACAAGGTTAATACTCAACATATAAGAGCGCTGACTGGTCTTGACAATTATGATTCTGCACTCATTCCATCATCCCAATTCGCATCAGCAAGACGCCACTGGAATTCAACACCGCCATGGTTTCCGCCAACCTGACTCTTCCCGCCACTATGCGGGCTCTCCTGTTGACAGGCCTATACAACGTTACCGTCCAGGACGTTGCGGTTCCGAAGCTTGCGGCCCCAACTGACGCCATCGTCAAGTTGACCACCGCTGGTATATGCGGGTCAGATCTTTATGCCTATCGAGGATTCTCCCCGGACCAGGACCCTTATGTTCTTGGACATGAGGGTATTGGCTATGTTGTACAAACCGGCAGTGGCGTTTCTAGCGTCTCTGTCGGAGACTACGTTGTCATTCCTGACAATTTTCACCACGGACAGCTGGAGATGCAGCCTACGTTTCCAATATCCTATGGAGGCGGGGTGCAATCTCCCGGCGTATCAGGACTCCAAGGTAGGACAACCCATCGCCTGACTGAATACGTTAGAATAGTGCTGATTTTCTCGGAATCTAGCGGAGTATGCTATTGTCAAGGCTGCCGATGCTAATCTATTCCGCCTTCCGATCCACCGGAATGAGACCAATGAAACCCTGGAGCAGAGTTTTCTGATGACAGGAGACATCTTTTCCACAGGATGGGCAGCGATCACCTGGTCTGGCTTTGAACCAGGTGATTCAGTGGCCGTCTTTGGCGCAGGTCCTGTCGGTCTGATGGCAACATACAGCGCCCTACTACGCGGCGCCTCTCGCGTCTACACAGTAGACCATGTCCAAGAACGTCTCAACGTCGCCAAGTCCATCGGAGCGATACCTATCAACTTTGCGGAATCCGACCCAGTCACCCAGATCCAGAAGCTTGAACCTGCTGGTGTGAAGCGAGCTGTGGACTGTGTTGGTCTGGAGGCTCTCAATAGCAGCCTCGCGTTTGAACCATCCATAATCGTTCAACAGATGGTGAATGTGACCGGTTTTGAAGGAGGACTAGGCCAAGTCGGCGTACATGCCTATACACCTGGCACTCAAGCCGCTCGAGACCATCCACAGCTCAGTGCTGACATCACTTTTCCCGCCACAAGCTTCTGGACCAAGTCACTTCGGCTGCAGGCTGGCATTGTGCAGCCCTATCGGATCGCGCCACAGCTCATCAACCTAATCTCAAGTGGCGTCGCAAATACGAGTTTCATAACGACAGCGGTGATTGACATTGAGGATGCGCCTCAATATTACGAGCGGTTCAACCGTACGGAAGAGGTCAAGGTCCTGATCTCGTTCTCTCGCTGATTCTCTTGTTACAACCCTCGCGGTTACACAACAGGACTTAGCTCTCTTAGAGTCATCCCGTTTATATTTTGTCCATAGGCAAAGCATAACGCCACCCGTTCAGTTAAACAATCCTGTATCAAAATAAACACTCAAGCATTTAAATGATATCTATTTCCCGTCTGGAATTATCTATAGCTATGCATGTTCATTAAATCGTAATCTGCCCATCCTCCTTTCTCATCCTCTGCAAACTCTCATCGTCAACCCTCCAAACACCTTTCGTCTCAAGATCATGAAGCTTCCATTTTGTCCCTTGGGCCAATTGATGAAAAGCTTGATGCTCATCACCTGGTAAACTCCGAAACAGCAACGGCTCCCATGATTTTCCATGTAACTTCTCCTCTCTCCTCTTTTGTCTTTGCGCCTCTTCAACTTCATGCTTCGCGTGAGATGCATCCCTGTAATTCCCTTGCTCCAGAGCTGATATAACTTCTCCCCATGCACGTCTTGACTCTCGTGGATCTTGTTCTTCTACTGGATCGATATGCATGTCTGCAGATGTTTCTGGGTCGACTGTATATGTTTCCACCAACTTTCCTTTGCTGTCGGTAATCTTCCATCCGTCGCTCCAGACTCCAGATAGCTTGTAGCAATGTTTCTTGGGCTCATCTTTGTGATACACCCTCGCCTCGAAACAATTTCTCTTGCCTCGGAATAGACCAGCACCAGAAAAGTCAATTTCCGAGACGTATCCAGAGCTTGAGATGATTGTATATGTGCCGATGATCTCTGGGTAAAGACAAGCTGATAGGAAACCTCGCACAGTGACATCCGTCAGAGGAACCAGGTAATCCTCATCAAACTTGTCGAGGTGTATCACGGCGTGTCCCATTTGTCGAATATTGATGTTTCCATTAAAGGTCATCTCAACTCGTCCGTAACCATCCGCTCTTATTCCATCTGCAGAAATATGCATCGCAGTAATTGGTGGATGATGGCTAACCTGCTCAACTACCAATTTGGTATCACTGTCTCCCTCACTCCAAGAGGCAAGGAAGAGTTCACCAAGAAAAGCATTGAGAGGTTTCTTGATGCTGACATTTGGAGCGCCTGCAACATACAATTGACTTCGAAGACCTGCCAAGAACAATTGCAAAACTGAAAGGCTTCGTTTCGCTGGATCGAGTTCTTTTGTTGGTGCTGTGAAAAGTAAAGGTTTCTTTGCCCAACTTCCAGGATTCTCAACAACTGAAGATGGTGCTAGAAAGAATGGTGGAGCTGTGACATTTGCAAGATCCAAATCACTTTTTAATGATGATAGAAACTAAACAGTTAGTGGGAATCATGGCTGTTGATTGGGTACATACCTTGGCCAAGTCAACGAAACGTCTGCCCATTGACTTGGAGTCATCGTGAATAGTTCTTTGAGTCTTTGAAATCGGTTCCATTGTGTTTGCAATTACTCTACTACCGTTTCTTGGGAATGTTTCTCTCTTATATAAATACTCCAAGACTCTCGTCTCATCACATGCTTCAATTGCGTTTCAACACAGCCACGTCTCATTAGATCAAACTCGCTACGACGTCAAGTCGGCCGCCAAAGTTTCAATGCCTGTCGCTTGAAAGTCTGACCAATCAGAGGGCACTCGGAAGCTGAAATCATCCGAATTTTGAAACGGGAGAATTGATTGCCGTCGGAAACTCGAACTACCGGTGACCAGTCTCAAATTGTTCTAGCTCACACGTCATCCTTGAATAATCGGGATTTGTTTCTAGAATTGATGGTAGATTACATCGAATCCAATGACAGTTGGCTTCATTGTCAGACAGAATTTGAGCATGTGACAATGCATTTGGACTGTCAACTCTGCTGTATTGAGCCACATAAATCTGGATTTCACGCACTGACGAAAGCAAAAACAGAGCTTATTTCATCATCTCCGCTAGCAATTGTAATGTGACGACTCGTCCGTAGGTAAAGCGTCCAAGCGGAGTAATCCTGTGCAACTCTACTATCTCTGCCTCGTGATGACTACACGATGGAGGATTGATGGCGTCAGCATTCGAGCCTCGTCGTAATTCAAGCAGGAACTTACACGGAAACCGGGAGAGTAGCGCTCTCAATATTGCCTTGATCCTAGCGATCCCTATTCATCCTTCTTGTACAGTGATCTCGTGACAGAGTTCTCAACTCATCTCTTTTTGTACTGATTAACTCTGAGTATAGATAAGCTTTCAGCCACAAAGCTCAGCCCTCCGCGTTGACATCATCTAACGTCTCAACAGTTTTAGCGCTGTTCTTCGTCATTATTAAAATTGGTCTACCGGACTTGAAAATGTCCACACATCTACTCTGCTCATCACGTAATCTAGCTTACTGTTAAGGCTAAGATATCTCGAGTTTTCGGGCATTTCAAAGCAGAAACAAAGCTGTAGATCATCCCCTTACGACGTTCAGTGAGTGGCAGATATACGAGCTCTATGGGTCCAATTTTACTGTTTCTCTTCCAGCTTCTCTACCAATTGTAGCAGTTGAATTTTGGAGATCAATGGAGTCCTTGACAACGTCATTCTTCAGTCGTCAGAGCGGTTGAAACGGCAATCTCCAGACTTCCGGATAGTGATGTCTCCGAGATCCCTTCTTTTGGGAACGGCAATTCTAACTCAAATCTCAAGTCAAGCTTTCGGCAATGGGGCTCGGCAGCGTAGTTATCGATGTCACTACCCCAATTCACAGCCGTCAGAGGCTTGAGTCAATTAGTCTATCTACCCTATCGAGAGTATCTTGTAGTAACCAATCGGCTCAACAGACCCAACCGTATTTCCGAGCTCTAATCCGACCGTCGGACAGCAACCCGATCAACCTGCCGTGACGATCATCGACAATGCCCTCTTAGTAAAGAACTTTTGTCAGTATTGTCTTGGCTTAATCTTTCCTGAATCTCTGCAAATGACATTCACCAACCTTGTTGGCAGATCACTGGGGTATTCCAGTTCTATCCCCACAGCCAAGCCACCTTGGACCCTCAAATTGCTTCATCCATCAAACAATGAAGATCATGGTTCAATTGACCTACCCGCGGGTACGTTCTTGGCAGGTGCTCCTTCCTCAATGTTTCCCTGATTTAAGCTTAGAACAAGGTTGGCCAATGATCAATTGGTTACATCCAGATCTGGACATATTTCCCAATTCAGTAATCCCAGCATAGCCCGTATGGTGATGCTGGGCTCGCGCATTGTATCACGTCGAGATCCTGCTTATCGTTACAGATACCCGACTCATCAGCTGCGCCGAGTTTGTACCATCATACGTCAGCACTGCGCTCACGTAACCTCCGCCCTAAATCATGCTAACCTCCATCTAATTCATACCTCCACAGTGTAGATGTGTAACCTCCAGACATCGTGGATCATCGGAACTTTTCAGTACAATGACGTGCGTCGATACCAAGATAAGCTTAATCATTCCTTTGTCAATGTTTCATACGCGTCAATGAGTCAAGCAATTCTCCCACTCAGCCACCATTCACTAAAAAGATCGGCGTTGCTGACTCGTCACAGCGACGACGATCCTGATAAGAACGCCAAGTCTAAATACTATTCACATACCTATGTATCACCAACCGTTAGTTACACAATTGATAAGGTTGGTTTTACGCTTATTATCCACGAGGACGTGAAACTGCAGGAAGCCTGATACTTCCATTTCGGACTCCGATTACGCGGCTACGTTGTACATGGGAGTAGCCTACGGATATCCCGCTGAAAACTTGGCGATAATTATTGTAATTGCCAAGGTGTGAACAAATGGGGAGGAGAAGATCAACTTGGAGAAGAGGTAGTGAGTGCCGATCATTCATCCAACCACTCACGGAAAGTCATTTTAAGGCTAGATCTAGATAGCTGAAATGTAGATTCCCCTGTGGCGACAAGTGCCGTGATCCACACTTGCGGGCGGGAAAGGCTTACTTGGCCAGATCAACAAATCAAGGAAATGTTTGTGACACAAAACATGACAATGATTGCACAATGTTTCACGGTCGCTCTGTTCCTTCACATACTAAAAATTTGCAAAAAGCAATGCATACGCAAGGGTAATGAATAGTTTAATTACTAGGCTCAACCGAACGGTTGGGTTGTTATCAGGCAGTTATATGACAAGGATCTAAAACCCCAGACTCCCACACAGACTTCTCCCCGAACATCTCCCCTCAAGATTACGGCTCCGGAGTCGTGACGGGGGACAAGCCCCGACTTGGCACGGGACGAGTATCCACTCAATAAGCGTGCTCACAGCCTCAATGACCCGTTGTAATATCGCCTCGCCCTTGGCAACAAGCAAAAAGAATGTCGCAAACTAAACTCAGCAGGGAGTACCTTGTAGATAGGTGCCCGATCTCGACTGCAAGACAAATCTGAGATCCAAACCAATTAAAAAGTCTAATCCACCTCGTGTCTAAGCCTGAATGTTTCCCAACTTCCCCTATTCAGGCCAAGACGGGATCTCACTGACTAGAGGCTCAACAAGGGATCGCCGTTCTTGGGCATCTTGGCAAGGAACACCAAGAAGGGAATTGCGCGTCACATTGAATAGATTCAGAGATAGCGGGTCTGTACTCCATATCACAAAGTCATGGCTGTAATGATTCAGGGCTGTGCACAAGTATAAGGATGTCTCCCCTCCTCCAGTTTTCACAAGATTCATCTCTACAAACAAAATGGCTTCATTATTTCGACGACAGGATCCTGACCCGGAGCTATGTATGAAGTATGCTCACTTTGCTTCTCATATGGTACGATGGCAGTTCAAGATTATTTACTGGACCATGTTTGTGTCTAATTTACTGGTCTTGTTTATTGCTTCATGGACATATATCCGGTGAGTTTGCTGGGACATTTGAATATTTGATCTAACAAAAACAGTGGTCAAGCAGCTATAGAAAAGCTTGCTCATAATCCCAAAGCACGAACGAAACGGATACGACAGTCGGTCATGATGTGTCTTGGGTGTGTCTCTGTCTCAACAGTCATCGTTGTTATGGAAGCGTATTCCATTCTAGCTCTTCAGTTTTGTGATGGCGAAGACCTCATCTCACTCTACTGGTCTACCTGGACCATGATCCAAGTCGGTTCTTTGATTGCAATGATTGGTATCATTCTTGCACTGGCACATACCCTTCGTGGGAGACAGCATCCGTGAGTTCTTCTCGTCTATCATGTTACACTCGCTGACGGTTCAGACCATGGGCACTTGCATTAGGTACACCCGTTCTTGTGATCGCCGGATTTCTTCATCTCTTCCACGATTGCACAAAGAAGCGAATCCGAAGTCATCGTCGAAGAAACGACTTTGATGATAGCATGGGGCCTCCAATGAGTCAGGCGTAAGTTCCCAGTATCGCTACTCAGAATGTCTAGACTAACACAATCAGTAACACAATTTCGGTCAACCCCGATGAAGAAGAAGACATTGAATACAAAGCACAAGTAATTGGACTTACATTCGATGGTGGTCCAATCATTCGATACACAGATGCTGTACCCGAAACTTTGCCTGAACATGCTGAACTATTGGGATACTGTGCACAGAGCAAGCCTATTGTCATGTGTAAACGTGAGACTGTTCAATTTCTGATGGACTCTCCAGCTCGAGTACCACCATCAGCATCACCAGCTTTTCGCAAGGGTAACTGAGACATTCCGTTTCGGACCTTGCAAAGCTGAGGCATCCAACGGCCGACAGGGATGAGATAAGAGTTGAGCGTCAAAGCACGCCAAGACAAGGGAGATGCGCTTTGACTTTATGCGTTGTTGTCGCCTGAACTAGCAGGCATTATTCTTGGGTTTCTTGAGTTACTGGGTTTGCTTGGGAGTTTGTTATAGATACAGGATAATGGCGGTGGACATCAAACAAAAAGGAGGAATGGGATTGGGGCATGGTTTGGTGTCATGGCGGACGGAAAGGCTTCATGATACTGAAGATAAGATACCCTGAGCGATAAGATAATAAATGGATTTTGTACTTGCATAATTCGGTGCATAAAATGTGCATCTCATCGAGATCGTCGGTGATGTCAGCGATGATCTTTGATCGGCTAGCTTTTCAGTTTGACCGATGACGGAGTTATTTCTTATCGATAGCGGGGTGAATGCCCCTCATCGCCGGTTCGGCCAATGTTTTGATCGGCTTAGTAAATAGCTTTCAAATCAGAGGCAATCAACGTGAAGGTTTCAGACCACGAACACTTTATTCACATACCACGCGCGAGACTCATTCAACACCGTTACCTTCGTCAGCGACTTATCTGACACATTCAACACATCTTGACGACATCCACAATGGGCCTCACAAAGGTCAAACACATCATCCTGGTATGTTACCCTACGCTCGCTTGCTTCAAGCTATTACTGACCAAACAGGTCCTCTCAGGCAAAGGAGGAGTAGGCAAATCTTCAGTCACAACACAATTAGCATTGTCGCTCGCTTCAGCTGGTCATTCAGTCGGTATTCTCGATGTCGATTTAACCGGTCCTTCAATCCCCCGCATGCTGTCAATCGAAGCCTCAAAAGTCACCCAAGTACCAGGAGGATGGGCGCCAGTATTGGTACACGAAGGGGACTCAGACAAAGGTCTCGGATCTCTACACGCCATGAGTTTAGGCTTTCTTCTCCCAGAGCGAGGCGACGCAGTTGTTTGGAGAGGACCAAAGAAAACAGCAATGATTCGACAATTCCTCAAAGACGTACTCTGGGATGAAACCGACTTTTTACTCATCGACACACCACCCGGAACAAGCGACGAACATATATCCCTCGCCGAAACGCTACAAAAAGACGCATCACCCGGTCAAGTCGCGGGCGCAGTAGTAGTCACAACACCCCAAGCCGTAGCGACAGCAGACGTACGAAAAGAGCTCAACTTTTGCACCAAGACGAATATCCGGGTATTAGGAGTCGTGGAAAACATGAGCGGTTACGTGTGTCCGCATTGTTCCGAGTGCACCGACATATTTGGATCAGGAGGAGGGAAGAGCATGGCGGAGGAGTTCAAGGTTCCGTTCCTGGGGAGTGTTCCTATGGATGCGCAGTTCATTTCTCTGGTTGAGGAAGGTAAACGACCGATTTATCCGTCTGGTACGACGGTGAATGGGAAGGATATTTCGGGGACAAACGGTGAGGGAGAGGGTTTGGTTGATAAGTACCGGGATTGTTCATTGTTTCATGTTTTTAGAGATATTACAGAAAAGGTCATGACAAACGTGGCTAATTAGCCAAGATATCCACTCGTCGAGATCAGGCAATTGACCGTTGACTGTCTGTGTCTGTCTTGAGTCCGTGAGTGTCTCATCACAAGCCAACATCTTCAACGGATTGACTCTCATGCAAGCATTCGAACAAACTCATAATTGGCTCACTGCACCATAGACACAGCCTCTTCAAACGCCTGCATCTTCTCTTCCAAGAAAGTTACAATGACGAAACTCGTGTGGCCGACATTGCAAGGATCCTCAAGCCCTGCCCCACCAAACCCAACCGCCAACCCAGTAAAATCACCCTCTCCCCTCCCAAAAAAGCTCAGCGCGGGTGGAATTTTTCTCTCTCTCGTAAAAAAACTTCCTGTTTTCGGCCCAGAAGCCGGGGACACGCTCTGCTTCCCCGGGTCGTGGCACTGTACACAGCGAGGTCATTGTACCTCTATTGGGCAGGATTTGACGAGTTGGACTACGTAGCTCCCACTAAACTGTACCTTACAGCAAGTTGGGTAGAGGTGGGCTAAATAGCACCGCCTTATTGAGACCTTAGCACATTGGATCGGGATGATAGAAATTTACTCTACTCACAAAAATAACCCAACCCCTCCCACTTCGTGAAAAGACCCAAAATTCTCTCACCGACAGAGTAACATAAACAACAAGCATCAGTTACTTGTTCTTTGGCATTCCATCTGTTATTCTCCTGTCTATTCACCTCTTTTGTTTTGTTTTGCCTCCTCGCATCCATCCTCTGCTTCGCTCACTGCTCACGCGACCGCAAACTTGGACTCAAGTTCAATGTCGAATAAACGCGTCTAATCTCTTCAGCAACCGACGGTTCTTTCGATACCGTCACTGACCTTTCTTGGTTTCTTTACTGGGCTTCTATGCGGCCGACGGATCTTCTGCGCTTCCTCTTCTCTCGACCTTCCAAGTATGATTCACTCGCACATCACATATTCAGACCACGGCTAACAACTGTCAGGCCCCGATAGCACCCCTTCAACGAGCCATCTACCGATAAACACGTCTTCCAAATAACCTTGACTGCCACAATTCAGTCACAAGAGTTCTACCACTTCATCCGCTCCCGACCCCCCTAACGTCCCCGAGGCGTTACCCCCGATCGATCGATTGCTGCTGGCTCCGCCAGCATCTGAACAAGTCCCCGTACCTGTGGGCCTACTCTCTCAAACAGACGCCGCATAGTCTGTTTGAGCGGCAGCTAGTGCTCCGCGGACTCTGCCACCGGGCAAAGAACACTGACAAACCGCCGCCATGACCTCCGTCCCCTACAACTGCACCTTTTCGCCTGCTTCGGCTACACCTCATCTCACAATCAACCATGATGTAGCTGCCGACCTCGACTCGACCAACGCTTTTGAAGGTCCCGAGAAGCTTCTCGAGGTTTGGTTCGCTCCTAGCCCGACGACTCTACCTCCTACTGCTCCTGTCAATGGTCTGAAGGCTGTTCCAGCTGATACTTGGGTTCCCATGCTTGATATGGTCAATTGCAAGGTCTTGTCTGTTCTTGAGAGTGAAATGATGGACGCTTATCTTCTCTCCGAGTCGAGCATGTTTGTCTTTCCTCACAAGATCATTCTCAAGACTTGCGGAACCACTACTCTTCTTCTCGGCCTTCAACGAATGCTTCACATCGCTGCTCAACATGGATTCCCTTTCCATAATGCCAATTCGGCCGACGACATTCAAGCAGCAGCGACTCCGTACCGAGTATTCTACAGTCGCAAAAACTTTTTGTTTCCTGAGAAACAACAAGGACCCCACCGCAGCTGGAAACAAGAGGTCAAGTATCTCGACGACATGTTCGACGGAGGTAGTGCCTATATGGTAGGCAAGATGAACGGCGATCATTGGTATCTGTACCTCACCTCACCCAACCAGCAAGCCCTCACACCACCTCGTACGCCCGGTGAGGTCGAAGGCACCAAGATCCCCGTCGGAACATCCTTCAATGGAGTTCCAGGCAGTTATCACGACGAGACGCTCGAAATCCTCATGACGGATCTTGATCCTGAAAACGCCAAGCAGTTTTATCTGTCGCACGCGAGTGCGGTCGCCAGCGACAAGATGGCTGCAGAGGCAAATGATGCACGCAAGGAAGCCATCAACAGCCTTGGAGGGCTTGCCGAGACTGTTGACGAGGTTGATGTTTTCGCGAATGAAGACGACACCATGCTCGATTCAATTGAAGCTCTGACCACTGAGGGTCACGCATTGGGAACTGTCGTCTCGGAGAGTTGCGGCCTCTCCAGCGTTTACCCAACCAGCAAGTATCCCGATGCACGAGTCGACGCATACCTCTTCAGCCCCTGCGGTTTTTCGGCTAATGGAGTCGTCCCTCCTGAGGCTGGAAAGGGTGAGCATTACTTTACAGTTCACGTCACCCCCGAGCCTCAGTGCTCTTTCGCTTCATTTGAGACCAACGTCCCTGGTGGTCAGAGTGGACGTAACACGACTGAGATCATTGAACATGTTGTCGACATCTTCAAGCCCGGTCGTTTCAGCGTCACTCTTTTTGAAGCAAAGGGTGCAGCTCAGAACCCATACTGTATGGGCGATGATGATTCCAACAATTGGGCTGCTAAGCGTCTTGTTGATCCTGTTCGAGGATACAGACGCATTGATCGTATTGTTCACGATTTTGAGGACTACGATCTTGTCTTTCGCTTTTATGAACGTGAAGGATGGGCTGGAACTAAGAGTGCTCGTGTTGGAGAGCCTATTAGTCCTACCAAGTGAGCTTGCATTTGTCATTTGGTGTCAATTGGAGGATGCGATGGATGATGCCTGTCATTTCCGAGTGCATAGCATGATGCTTGAGCTTTGTCGTTCCTTTGAAATAGTTTCGCTCTCTGAGCTTATCGTTCTTTTGAACATGTATTTTGAATTGATCAATTTTGCGACAACTTTTGCAATGCCACTGAGTGATGCCCTGTGATGATCAGAACCTAAAATTAGTGCATGCACGCTAAATTAAGCCTGTACCTTGAGGGTGACAAAATGTCTGAAGTGACAGTCTGTTGGCTGTGTCACGTATTTTGTCCCATCTCACCCCAGTCAAAGTTCATTGCTCTGCTGATAACGATAAGCCTTCCACGTGATCTCAGCCCCGTCAAAAAATTCTTTGCTCAATCCGCTCTACCAAGCAAAGCTTCAAGCATCACCAAAACCTCACAAACAATCACATCAACCGCCAAAATGCATCTCATGTACACCCTCGACGCTCAAGGCAATCGCCTCTACACCCTCAAGAAGGTCGCTCAAGGACAAGTCACCAAGTCCGCTCACCCTGCGCGTTTCTCCCCCGATGACAAGTGGTCGCGCCAGCGCGTTACTCTCAAGCGACGATTTGAGCTTCTCTTGACTCAACAGAGTGCGTTCTCTCCTCGTTCTCACCCTCAATTTGCTTACTGACATGGTTTTAGAGGAACAATAAATCACATGACGGGCGTTACGGTTCAGTTTGGGCGTTAGACTAAAAGTCTCAATACAACTTCTACTTCTAGTGTTTCTTCTTCGAGTTTACATTTCGTCCGGCTCCAACACGAATCTTTTGACCGCCTCCTGCACGATGACCCGTTAATAAATCGGGCAAATAATCCTGATCCATGGTATCCTTCTTCCTCTGACGTCTCTGTTCCTCCCCCGCCCTCGTAAACTCCTTCTGATCCTCCGCCAAGATGAGATTATTTCCCCAACCATTTTTGCCGCCTGCATTTTTAGGAAGACGACCATTCGCAGATCCGTGAACAGGCTTGGGAACACTGTAGACATTTCCACGGTTATTCCACTGAAAGTTCTTCTTGAGGTGGATCTTGAAGTTGCCGTGCTCATCGGTTGAACAGCTTACTCTGTTGAGAGTAGGTTGACCGCAAGAAGGACAGAATTGCTTGTTCATTTCTTTTGTGATTTTGAAGCAGCCGTGGCAACGGAGAACCCAGTTCTTGAGATGTGTGATTCGTGCGAGGGATGGTGCGACGAGGTTGAGGTTCATTCGGAGAGCGACGTTTTGCATGGCGTAATCGGATGTGAGAACGGCGGCTTGAAGGGTCTTTTGAACGGGCGCTGAGGGTGTCGCTCCAGTGTCTGCTGCTTGGTGTTTCTTGAGGTTTGAGGGTGTGATCCAGCCGCCTTCATCATCGGATGCTTCGCCATCGGATGCTTCTTCAACAGCTTCAATTGTTTCATCGGCCTTTTCGCCCGCAAGCGCATTCTCTGCGGTCGCGTTTTGGATGGCGGTCTCTTCGGTGACATCTGTGACATCTGTGTCCTTCGACTCTGGCTCAGTGACAGTCTCTGCAACAGCTTCCTTTGCCTCTGTAGACTGACTGGACTCGCCGATAGGCTGCTCAACAGGGTTCTCGATTGTCAGGTTGTCAACAGCCTTCTCCAGAGACTCTTCGACCTTCTCAGTCTCTGCCTCAGCCTTCACGTCACCTTCAGCAGGCTTGTTTGGCTTTCCATTCAAACCCTTCTGACCAGGCGTCTTTCTCAATCTCCAATCACCTCCATTTCGCTCACACTCCAACTCATACCCCAACGCCAAAACGTCAATATCAGGCTTGCTCAAAACAGCCAAATCTCCTGTTCTTCTTGCAAAGTCCCGAATTACCTTGACACTTTCGGGGTTCGGCGATCGTAGGGTGATGAAAGGTAGAAGAGTCGTCTCTACTCGTGCTCGTGTGGCAGCATCTCGAATTTCGGAAATAATGCAGGGAAGTGTGTAGAGTTGTTCAGCTTTCGCTCGGAGAGTATTCGCGGGAGGATCGTTCTTGATGAGAGGACCTGTATCAAGTACAAGGCTGTGAATAGGCTTGTGAGCCGTTGCGTCTGAAGACATGATGATGTTTACCCAATGTTTGGGGATTTAGATTGGCGATAATTTCTGTGGTGTTCATCGCGGGGCAAACTTTGGAATTTTTGGATAAGATAAGAGATAAGATAAGCTCTGTCATAACACGTGCATTGACCTGGCAGCCATCTGGGTAAGGTGAGTTCATCGAGGTTCACTTCTTGTGCATAACGTGTATTATTAATTATTGCTGTCAAACTGGTATCGCCATGAATTGACATGTTGCTATTGAACCAACATTCGTGCATATTGCGCTATAGCCTATTGTCATAGACAACCGAATTGACATGAAGGGCGTCACAGGTTTGTCTTGACAATGACTGTTCACAGGGCGTAGTCGACATGACAGGTGGTGGATTAATAATGGAGAATGCCGTCAAAACTTACCGTGATGGTCTCGGAGGGTCACCCGAGGAAAATAGTTTGATCTCGTTTAAATCTGTGGCTTTTTTCGGTGTCTGTGACTCGAATTATTAAGGCGTGCTATTTCTGCCGACTTCGGATTCAGCCGTAAGACGGGGAATAGATGATGATGAACCTGACAAATGTAAGATGAGAAACAAGTGCAAACTTAATGAATGAATGACAGCAACGAAGCTAGACAACAGTTGAGACGATACAGAATGAAGATTGTCACAGAAACTGAAAACTTCTCATCACTCGATTTTTACGTACAAGACCCCGCTGTAAATTTCCAGTGGACATCTACAGAACATCTCCAGTGGGTCCATCTCCAAATCTCCAATTCTGAGTCCAAGATGAACATTTCTTCAAAACTTATCAATCGGATAAACGGGTGTAAGCACGTCCTCGCAATGACGAAAAATAAGCTTAGCTTTACACGGCTTAAATTTCCGCTTAAAATGACTACGCCATGATCATTTCCAGGCCGGGGTCGGATCGGATGTCACCATTTTTTTACATGCGCCCTACAACATGTCAACAAGCTAGGGATGGTATGGATGGATGGATCAGTCAATGGGTCAATCACAACAGGGCGCAGAGGAACAGAGTCAAAGATATAAATCCTTGGGTGTCAGCTGAGTTGGATTTTGGTCAATAATCCTCATCACTCTGAAGTCTTATAGCTTCATCTTGGACCTCTCAACCTTGAACCTCATCAGAAGCTACAATGGCAGCCAAGGTTCCATCGTTTGTTGACGTTCAAGTCACAAAACTACCCATCACTCCCCCAGAGTATGAACATCTCGGCATCCACCGAAACGGAAGCATTCATCCTTGGGGTTCAGCACATGCATTGGCATCCACTTTGAAAGGAAAAATGACCAAAAAACCAGAGGTCCAAATCCTCATCAATGGTCACTTCAACTCAAAGGTGTACACCACCAACTCGGAGGTTTCTGGCGTTGTCAACATTACACCTGCTAGAAACACTCGTTTCGATCGACTTGACATTTCTCTTGATGGACTCAGCGAGACACGAAGGGATGGTCCTGACATGACACACATGACATCCCATCGATTCCTTCGACTAGAGATGCCAATCGACCAGTATCCTGCTTCTGGGGTCCTTGAAGCTGGCGTCACTTATACATTCCCATTCATCTTCAACATCCCAGCTCATCTCTCCTCCAAAGCGTGCTCCCACAAGACCAACTCCGAAGACGTCTGGGAACGACACATGGCATTGCCTCCAACGCTCGGTGGCTGGGAAAAAGACGACATGGCACCTGATATGGCACGAGTAACATATAGCATCCAAGCCTATGTTCTCACGCGAGCTAAGCAAGGTTTCAACATTGCTCTCGGCAACTCCCATACCATCAACGTCATGCCAACATCTTTCGAAGAGCCTCCCCTGAACATTACCGAGCGAGACGATCTATACAAGATTGAAAGGTCCAAGAAGGTCAAGAAGAACATATTTTCCGCATCTCAAGGTCGAATCTCCGCAGTGGCTGCACAACCAGCTGCAATTCATCTCACGAAAGAAGGCTACGAAGCCAGCGGATCTTCAATTCCCATCAGTCTTACTTTTGAACCTTCTGCCGCTGATGTAATTCCCCTGCAATTTACGTCCGCATCACTCAAGATTCAAGCTCATACTTGGTTCCGCGATCAACCAATGATGAACCTACCAACACAAGGATCTCAGGTTGCCAACTTTGGATACCCATTCTCAGTGTCTCTACCAAAGGCCTCTCCCAAGGTCCAATGGACTCAGAATGTTGATATGGCAAGCACCAAAGATTCACCGGTTTTTCACACAGCTACAGTTGAAGTTCCCTTCAAGTTACCTACTGCCGACAAAATGTTTGTCCCGACATTTCACTCCTGCATTATTTCACGAGCATATACGGTCAAGATCGTTTTGGAGGGCGATGTCAAGATTGACTTGACAGTCCCTGTTCAAGTGGTTATGGGAACACCCGATGTCTAGGGAACTTTCGTTAGTGTTGTTTTGGGCTAGTTTGGCGTTTTCGGAATGCTCCAGTTTGATGAGAGATGAAAGATATCCAGGCGAGCATTATCCGATAGAGTTAGATTTATTAATAGTAATTGTTTGTCATGATCCATTGCCCCAGGTTCCCCAGATCCACTGTGCAGCTGAAAGCTTGAGTGGAATGTGCCGTGTAGGGTCCGCAGTCTGCATGTCATGCCAAGATTAGATGCAGACCGTTGAGTTCAAGTGCGTTGGTCCGGGGTCAGATTGTTGAAGTTCGGTTGCGTGAGTCCTATAGTTGAGTCTATGATTTCTTGTAAGCTTGGAGTGGAAGTAACGCGTCGCGTTGGCAGTTCACGGTCGCGTTGTAATTAGCCGCCAATGCGATGCAAATTGTATGACATCAATACAACATGGATTGAGACAAGATCAGTCAGACTGACACCAAAATCTCATTGGGAATTCTCCGCGGCCGCCATGCTGAGATGAGCCGCATTGAAGCAGCCGTCACTGTCGATAGCGGCCGTTGGATCTTACATCAGCGGGAATAATCAAGAAATCATTGAGTCCGAATTTAATCCCGGGCTTGAGAGTATTGTTAGGCCAGTGTTATAAGAACGTAGGTAAGATGGTGTGTTTGAGGCCAGCACTAACGGGACGTCAACGTCACAACATCTGCTCACAAGCCGACAGATTTGTACGTATTAGGCCAGCTCTACAGCTGAGGAGACTTAAGAGAAGACTTAATGGCACTCTAAAGCAGTCAGACTCGTAAGAAGTAGCCCCATCAACCACAACTACGCAATTGTCTTCAGACATCTTGACAACCATGGTTAAACAGGCTAAACTACCCTACGTCAGACGGTCAGGTGATCGGCATTCTCATTACTATTTTAGTCCATCCTGCATAAACTAACTTTTTAGCCCAATTTCACCCGTTAACTACCGGCCCCTACGGAATAACCTCTCCCAAACTCAAACCCGAATCTCTCACGTACAAATAAACCCATCTCCAAGTCTAGAACTCTCTCACGATATTCCCCAGTCTCCGTGCACTCGGGGTCGGCCGTTTGCGGATGCTTGACTCGGGGATTCCATTAGAAATTTGTATCACATCACAGATCGCTGGTTCAGTGGGCCAACAACTCCACAGCATTACGAGAGAAATACTTTCTCAGCCAATGCGGACCGACATGACCAATTGGTTCTGTTTTAATGACGGATTTTAATCTGCATCTTTGAGTTATCAAGATAGGCCTGTTAGATAGGCGATGCAATGCATTGATCACTGTAGAACCCCGAATACCGAGCCAGTGTTTCGCAGGAGATGAGAGACATTGACAGAGTGACTGAGAGCGTGATGGTGACTGAACAAGTCGCTATTTTAATCAGGTACTACAGCGCGTGTTCGTCGTATTAGCGGCTAGATCATCCCCCCAAGTCAAGTGACTTAACCGCGCCTCGATCACCAAATACCTCATTCACTTACCAAACTGCGCTCACTCCATTATCCCACTCAATATCGTACCATACATTCTCATGCATTAACTCCTTCAAATCACATCAACATACGCTATCTTGAGCCACAAACATAAAAGACTCAATGGTCAATGCTTGGCGCCCCCTGTAAGCTTTTATCATTCCCCATATCCACCAATTACCCCCAATCGCCACCCCTGACTAGTACACCTTCGAGAACATTTCGACGGGCGGCAGATTTTTCCCGCCTCAAATTCAGCCAAGCCATTTTTGCAAAATTCTCGGATGCGATAGGTATGACACTCGTGCGATAAACATCCACGGATCCGACTTGGCAAAGAAATGCCGGTCGTATGTCCTATTCCCGTCCTCACCATCACCATGTCTTTACGGTACTTGACCTTCAGTCGTCTACCGACTGCTCCGCATTCTCACAATTCTCGTACGTAAAAAGCCCATTCTCTCCTCAACTTAATCTCTCCCCTTTGCGGAGTAATCTCTGGGGACAGAAACCATCCCTGAGTCGTCTATTACCAAATTTTCATCATCACAACAAGACGGAGAGTTTTATTGACTAATGCAAACATGGCTGCAGCCAAGCAAGAGGCTCTGTTGCGATCCACTTTATGTAATCGAAAGGTTTTGGTGATCCACCGTAGGCGTAACACTACACACGAGCTCGAGCCTCATGACACGGAGTTTCGGCACCGTGAAAGCTTTCGAGAAACGAGTCCGTCTGAGGAGTCTGGGGTCTGGGGTATTAGGTCTTTGGTGAGGGAATTCAAGATGTAAGAGAAACAGGGTTCTTGGATTATGGTTCAGATTCGTAGGTCGCCTCCGAAGAATGGTGGGACTATCTCGACCCACTGGAAGTGAACTACAAAGATCGGCCTCATTCTCGGTCTCTGCTTATCTGTCTTTGCCTTCTTTATAACAGACCTCTATTCCCTCTCTGTTTCTGGTCCTCTCTCTTCATACTCATACATACTCATCTTTACACTAGACATCCACTTATACTTACATACACTCATACTACATACTACATATATACACATACATACATCATGGACCAAATCAACACAGCCCAAACGGCTCCAACAGACACAAAAAAGAGCCGCCGAGAATCAGTACCAGACATGTTTGACACACGAGCAGGCGAAGTCGCCGAGATCAACGACATGGAGAAGCAAAAAGCCGCTGAAGG